GGAAGAATGTTGTAAAACTCAATTGCGATAGGTGTTGATTAATCACTAATCACCCCCAAGTTGATTTTAAAGATAATTGCCATTTTATTCATCAACAGTCAACTAGTCAACCAATCGGTCCAATCACTGATTAAAAAAGTTAGGGTTTTTCACTCAAACCGGTGCAATTTTGATTGAAATAACCCTAAAACCGATTTATCACAACGCATATCAACAAAATCTCAACATCGAATAGGCGAGCACAGAAAGAAGGGAAAAACCTGAGAGTCAAGTCGACCTTCACAAATCACCACTTCCTCTGGGCAACTCGCGATGATCGGGTGATGGCATAGGTTGCCATCGTCGCTTGTGGCCACCATCACCTTTCACACTCAGACTCATAGATATGCATGATTTGGCACTCACCATTCTGATTCGTTGTTCGAAAAATCACCAGACTAAAGTTTTCTTCATTTCCTTTTTTGAATTTGAGAGAGAGAGAGAGAGAGAGAGAGAGAGAGAGAGAGAGAGAGAGAAGGGGGGGGGGGGGGGGCACTAATAGTGGATTTTCTTCAAAGAAAAAAAATTAATGTGTGAGTGTGACAGAGCGAGCACATGCCTTATGATTGAGCCTGCTAAACGCGTGGTAGCCACTCTTGAATACCTAAACATGACTTCTAAAAGTCAATTTCCAAAATTTTAAACAGACCCTAAATTAAGAACTGAACTGGGCTTTTTGCACTATCTAGCAAAGAAATAAGGAGATGTCCAAAAAATAAACTTGCTAAAAAGGACCCTGCTAGAAAAAAATGATATCTCAAGCCCAACTAAAAGAGTCAGCCCAACAAATAAATATTGCCCAACTTTTCTTCAACAAGCTCCCACTTCGGTCACCATTACTCCTACTCAGCCATGTTATCCTCCACTCTCTTGCAATATCCCCAAACCCTAGCATACCCACACCACTAACCATTAAAACCATGGAAAAACAAAAGGAAAAACTCACTCAAGAAACACACACACACAAAAGAAAAAATGAAGTATCCCAAAAGAATCCTAAAATCACTGATTAAAAATAAAAAGTTAGGGTGTTTCACTCAAAACGGTGCAGTTTTAATTGAAATAACCCTAAAATCGGTTTACCACAACGCATATCAACAAAATCTCAACATCGAATAGGCAAGCACAGAAAGAATGGAAAAACCTGAGAGTTAATTCGACCTTCACAAATCACCACTTCCTTCGGGCAACTCGCGATGATCTGGCGATGGCATCAACAGGTTGTCACCGTCGCTTGTGACCACCATCACCTTTCGCACTCAGACTCATAAATATGCATGATTTGTCACTCACCATTCTGATTCGTTATTCGCAAAATCACTAGAGTAATGTTTTCTTCATTTCTTTTTTAAATTTTCCAAATAGAGAAAGAGAGAGAGGGGGGAGAGAGAGAGAGAGAGAGAGAGAGAAAGAGAGAGGCTAATAGTGGGTTTTCATCAAAGAAAAAAAAAATCTTGTGTGAGTGTGACAGAGCGAGCTCATACCTTTTGATGCACTCACTAAGCGCGTGGACCCTAAATTAAGAATCGAATTGGGACTTTGCACTATCTAGTAAAGAAATAAGTAGATGTCCAAAAAAAAAACTTGCTAAAAAATAGCTAAATAAAAATAACTCTCCTAGAAAAAAAAAAAAAAATCTCAAGCCCACATAAAAGAGCCAGCCCAACCCCCAAAAGCCCCACAAATAAATATTGCCCATGTTTTCTTCAACAAGTTCCTACTTCAGTCACCATTACTCCTACTCAGCCACGTTATCCTCCACTCTCTTGCAATATCGCAAAAAACCGGCATTACCCACACCACTAACCATTAAAACAATGGGAAAACAAATAAAAAACTCACCCAAGATAGACACACATACACACAAGGGAAAATGAAGTCTCCCAAAAGAACCAAATTAAATCTAAACCCCATGCCCCCCCCCCCCCCCTAAAGAGGAATCTCGTCTCGGAGAAGAAGTTCGACTCAAAAAGGAAGTCTGTCGATTATATCTCACACTAGTGATTCTTCAACAATAATCATGGACCCAATGCTCATCTTGCAAGTACACTTTGAAGAAATTCGCGAAGCCGAAGCCGCACCAGAACCCAAACCCGACTCCTCATCGAACTCAAGTACCCTGTATCTTTCTCATGTACCCTTCGAAGTTATAAATACCCCAATTTCCTTACGTTCAAACATAGGAAAAGATGAATTTCTTGATCCCAATGATGAATTTTAGGGGATAATATGTGCCCTAAACCGATCATATAACCAATATGATGAAGAATCCAAAAAAGAAAGGATAAGAAAAAGGGAGAGAGAAAACAAAAAACCTAGGAACCAAAACTACAGATTCTACCCAGAACTCTCTTAACAGTTTTGAGAAAGAATTGCATGCCTTTACCGAAGAAGAAGATGGAGATAACGATAATAGAGGTCAAAAAGTCTGGGAAAGTCATAATATCCTCCCAATTGAATGACTTAAAATATGCACATATTGTGATATACTCTCATCAACCAAATGTTGAAACACTTATTCCTACATAAGCCAAAATTGATGAAAAACAAACTAGAAGACAGAAGAAGATGAAATTTGATCTATATGAAGGAGCCGATCCAATAGCAAAGAGGCTAGAGGATTTTCCTATATATGTCATGCCTCCCAAAAGGAAGCCAGACATTCCCCCACCAAATAGAATGTTGACAAAAAGAAAACAAAAAGAAATTAGGTATCAGGAAAATTCGAACGGGGATGAGATCAATGAAGAAGTAGAAGAAGCCGCACACACATTGCCTCTATACCAAAACTAAGACCTCAACAAAAGGAAATTAAATAAAAAAAACTGGAGGGTTTCATTTGCCAAAGAAAATGGAAAAAGTATTGTTGAAGCATATGTTACAACACCAGATATCTTGTCTGATTTGCCTATTCCTTACAATGAAAAATTCCTAAGCAAGTACGCTTCTAAACTCTGGAAAAAGACTATATCCAGGAAAATAATTAGCAAAAATTGCTTGTGTTGGAGAAACTAGAAGATAAAAACCACATTGCAAAAATACTCATTGAAGGGAACCTCTTTGGCATTATCACCAACATAGAGCCCTTCAAATAAGAAATCAAGAAGTTCTACTACAACCTCACATCAGAATCATCCACATCTTTAGGCCCAATGTACGGAAGGGTTTACCAAAGAGGTAAATTTCTTAACTTCGCCCCTACAATGATTAATGACCATTTTGGAACTGGAAATGAAGAACAACATGTTATTTTAGATAGTGAGCAAATGGCTCAACAACTTACAACAAGCAATGTAATTCTTGAGAAAAAAGAATATCAAAGTCACTTGCTTAACAATCAAATATGCTATTCTATAAAAGATTGCATTGGCTAACTGGATGCCATCCCTATACGATAACAGTGTCAAGTGGAACTTAACCGAACTTAGCTTCTATTCAAGATTGGAAAATGAATAAAGCTCAACTTTGGAGAATTTGTGCATGAGCAAATTATGAACCTACTTGAAAATTGATCACAAAAAGCATCTCTAATCTTCCCAAACTTGATTCATGACTTACTGGTCAAACAAGGCCTAAAGATCACCAAAGAGAAAACAAAACAGAATGTAACCCCTTTGTGATATCTATCAAATTGAGAAAGGGAGCACATCAAAACGACCTTAGAACCACCACCCCAAAATAAGATCCTACGGACCGAAAGACATTGTTAGCTATTTCAAGAAAATACTGAGTGAAATTGAGAGCTCTAAAAAGGAACTGATCAATAGAAAAAAGTTAGATCTCGAGGAATAGAAACTGAAAGTTAGCAAGTGGTTGAAAACTTTGGAAGGCAAAAATCAAGAAATATAAGGATTGAAATTAGGTGTCGAAACATCAATTTCAGCATCTTTGAACAACGCAGATGTCGGCTGTTAAGTGGCATCCTAGTCCAAGGAGACGACCTCAATAAAGGAACATCAACACCATTAGCGTACTGTTTGCCAAAAATAGTATTAGAAATGAAAAAAGAAAAACAAAAAAATGGGGAGAAGGAGAACTTGAAATTGTGTACCTATTACATGAATAATATTTTAATTATGATTTATTCTACACTTAGTGTATTTGTGCATTTTCACCTTAGTGCATTTTGAACACGTTGTGATGTATTTATGCATACCTAATAGTGTAATCCGCACGACCGCACAGGAACATGAGTCCCATAGGTTGAATTTAGATAAGAAAAAAATCACAAATTTAGGTAAAGTTTGTTTGAAATGTGTTAAACATATCTTAGGAGTAGTTTTAGACGGGTATGAGTAATGCACATTTAAGTTTAGATAACTCTTATTATATTTGAGTTGAAAAATAAATAAATGGATATCCTAACTATGATATTATTTAACAATCATCTATATATGGTTTGCATTATTTGCAAACAGTTTGAGATGTAAAAATAATGAACAGTTATTGTTGAAGTCTAGTTCTATGATCAATTGGAGTTTGAATATCATAATAATAATAATGTCATTTAAATCACCACGAAACGATGGTGATGACTCAATTGTTGCGTGCCATATATTTCATATTTTCATGCCAATTATATTATTAAATTTATGAAAAATATTATGTAAACTCTTATGTATATTATCAACTATTAATTTCATCTCATACTTAAAAAAATCTTGATGCTAACATTTTTATTAGATTAGATTCACATGAAAAAAAATAATTTATTGGCAATTATATAAGTGAAAAGAGTAAGAATTAAGAGTATATATATATATATATATATATATATATATATATATATATATATATAATATAAATATGTAGTGAGAGAGAGTTCTCAAAGAAAAACTATCTAGTGAGAAAGTAAAACATGATGTGATGAACTCTACTACTCTAGATAATCAGACACTCTAAAAAATGATGGGTAAATTAAAAATTAGCTTGATTGTGTGGGCAGGCAAGGATAAAAGAAGGCCAGGGCCAGGCCATCATTTCAAGTTTCAACGCTATCCTCCCACGCTTTCCACATTTCTTCCTCGCGGAGTTTGATGGCTGAGAAGCAGAAACTGTGCGTGACTGGGGCAGGAGGATACGTCGCATCCTGGCTCGTCAAGCTTCTCCTTTCTAAGGGCCACACTGTTCATGGCACCGTACGAAACCCTGGTAACACTATTCATCAATACCCAACTAAATTTTGACTTTTTTTTTTTCTTCTTTCTAAAAATTAAAATTAGGGTGGGTGTTCCTAATTTCTACTTTGCAGGAGATGCAAAGTATGGTCATTTGCATAATCTTGACAAAGCACCCCACAATTTGAAGCTGTTCAAAGCCGATTTGCTAGACTACGCCTCGCTCACTGCGGCTATCACAGGATGCACCGGAGTATTCCATGTTGCCTGCCCGGTTCCTTCATCTTCTGTACCCAATCCCCAGGCAATATAATATTCTTCCTAGCTTTTTTCTCTTGATTTTGAAACAATTTCGCTCTTTTTCTTTGATTTCTGCTATCAATTCAATCGTTTCAAATACTGGTATTTGATTTTTGCTTCTTCTAGTCTAGATTAGATTGATTACTGAAAGGCTAATTGCAGAAGGAGCTGGTTGAGCCTGCTCTGAATGGTACGCTTAATGTACTCAAGGCTTGTTCTGAATCAAATGTGAAGCGCGTAGTGATTGTATCCTCAGTAGCTGCTGTTTGCGTAATCCCTAACTGGCCCAAGGATAAAGTAAAGGATGAGACTTGTTGGTCGGACCAGGAATATTGCATCAAAACAAATGTCTCCTTCAATTCCTTCAACTTTTAATTTCATAGCTTTTCCAATAGATTGATTTGATTTGATTGTTGGTTTCAATCTTTATACAGAACTGGTATTGTTACTCCAAAACAGTAGCAGAAAAAGAAGCCTTTGACTATGCCAAAAAAAGTGGGCTCCAGGTTATCACCATTTGTCCTTCACTAGTTTTGGGCCCTCTCTTACAGCAGACGGTTAATGCTAGTAGCTTAGTCCTGGTTAAGCTTTTGAAAGGTAGGTACCCCCACTGATGTGAGTGATTGTTACTGTGAGTCACATGTGCTAAGGGAAAGTTGTAATGTATGCCATTATCAATGTCACTCCTGAATTATTAGTGGTGTAAATGTTGTCCCACAATTTATCTACTTCTTGTTTCTCTCAAAATACTGGTGAGTTAGATTTTAAGCTTGGGAAATTAAGTTCATGGCAACAAAAAACATATAACGGGGTTACATTACTTATAAACACAGTATTATATATGCATGTATAATGCTGAACTCATGCTAGCAAAGACTAATATAATGCATCTAGTTGCTCGCTTGAAGCTGCTGCATTTTAAGTTTGGACTGTCTCCTTTATTCAGAAGGATATGAAACACTTGAAAACAAGGGACGGCTGCTGGTAGATGTACGTGATGTGGCTGAATCGCTGCTGCTAGTCTATGAGAGACCCGAGGCCGAAGGTAGATACATCTGCATGGCTCATGAAATAAAGAGTCAGGATTTGGTGGAAATGCTGAAGAAAATGTACCCCAACTATAGTTATCCGAAAAGGTGGGGTGGATTAGATGCATTTTTTGTTTACAATAAGATCGATTGAACTACCCTATTTCTGATGAAGTAACCAACAAAACTCACTCTCCTCTCTCAATTATCTGCTTCTCTGCTTGTAGCTTTACTGCATGGGAAGGAGACGACGAGAAACTGAGCTCAGAAAGGTTGCAAAGATTGGGCTGGACTTATCGGCCACTGGAAGAAACTCTGAAAGATTCCATAGAAAGTTACAGACAAGCTGGGATCTTGGATTAGCATCTTCTTCCTTTACCAATTTGTGAGTGTGTTGTGGGATCTGATTTGCATTCACTATCAGATTCTTGAAATGAAATAATTGTGTCACTGAGCCCCACAGGATTTGGGTGCTGACTGCTGAGCAGGAAAACAAGAAATAATATTTGCTTTGTTGTTTTAGTAGGCTGGAAACTTAACATCATTTCGTATGTCTCGGAAAAAAGGGTGATTATAAATAATGATAGTGTTAAATGTTTGTTTGCCTACAATATATTCAGCAGTCCAAACAAATCTTATGTAGTTAGGAACATATTAATCAACTGTGTGCTTCACATAAAACAAATACTTTAAAAAAAAAAATTGATTGAAGGATAACCTAACACTATTGGGTAGCTTAACACTTAACTCAGCCTCATAAATATAATAATATAAATTTATAAAACCTTATTTCATTATTAGCCTATTTCGTATTTTAAAAAATTATATTTTATAAAGTGTTAAAAGTTTGAAATTTTATTATTTATTTATAAAAACTAAATAGAGTTTGGATATGTATCATCATAAATTAAAATGAATTTTTGTAACATTATATTATCTGAATAATATTAGATTATTATTAATAATTATATGTTCGTTTTCATACGGGTGTTTCTAGTTGGTCTCCTTTTATTTTTAGTTGTATTGAACATTTGATTTAAGAGTTAATTCCAGTAATGGTCCTCCGACTATATTGATTTTTCATAATTAGTCCCTGACTTTTAATTTGGACAATTTAACCTTGGATTGTCATGAAAATTTTTATGTACGTTCTAGACTTGCTGAACTACATATCTGCAAAATTTTGTGTCAAAATGTGTTATCGTTTTTTCCCATAAAATTCTGCAATCCAGATTAAAATTCTGAAAATTTCTGCTGTTTTCAGCTTGTATATCTTGCTATTTTGTGATATTTTCATGCTTGTATGAAAACATGAGATAAAATGAGAGCTTGCTTGGAAAAGTGTTGTTTTTGACTCCCCGAAATAGGAATGAATGGGCCCAGCAACGAACATGTGCTCGTTACCCTTCTGCGAACGGTACTTCTTTCATTTTTATTTTCTAATATATGAATTAATAGAATATCTCTTGTCATGTCATGTCTTGTGTGTATCAAACATGATACCCTTTATTTAAAATGGATGTGCATGATTTAATTGAGTTTTTGGTGTCCAAGACATAATGGACAATTATATCACATATTGAATATGCTTCTCTTTAATTGACAACATTTGTCATATAATCTATTGATTAGGCTCATATAAGAGAATTTGTTATTTCTCTTGTTGGCAATTAATTATTTGCTATAGACCATAACTATTGAGATTTATCACACAACTTATAAATGAGACAAAAGCATGAATTCTCAATATGATTTTTTATTGTTAGGTTGCACCTGTTGTTGCTAAACCTTACTTTGATCTTGTGATGTCAATTAGATTATAGGGAAAATTGTAAAACATGCCCCTCTATAATATGCCAATTATCAATGTCACCCCTGAATTATGAATGGTGTAAATGTTGCTACTCAATTATCAAAACGGTGCACATATAGCCCCTCCCGTAACGGACATGTGGTTCCCCGTTAGTGTACGACACCGTTAAGTCGGAGTAAATATGTAATTTAGTTGTTTTTTCCCTCCCTCAATTTGAAGTACCAGCGATGGACAGCGGTGAGGAACCACAGGTCCGTTACAGGATGGACTATAGGTGCACCATTTTGATAATTGAGGGGCAACATTTACACCACTCATAATTCAGGGGTGACGTTGATAATTGGCATATTATATAGGGACATTTTTTACAATTTTCCCTAGATTATATGAGTCTAAATTTTGTGATATCTAGCATGAATAATCGACTATAGTTTTGCCTGGAAGGTGAATTCATAGCACTAATTATATGAAAACAATATCCGGACAAATTATATATCTCTAATGTGAAATTGACTTGATACAATTCAAAAGTCAATAATTATTTGTCCAAAGTCAAACCTGTATATAGTGCTAGTTTTGCAATAGAAAATATTGGACATGAGTCCTAAATATTGAAATTTATCTCATATATAATATTGAGATATAAAATTTATAGCTCTTAATTTTTGAATATATATTTACCCGAAGGTGAACTAAGAGCTCTAATTTCTTATGTCAACTTTTGGACCAAACCTTGACAATAACTATTTGATAAAAAAAATGATCCCCAAATCTTTTGTCAAACCCTGGAAGGGTCGTTAGGACGAGTGCAAACACCGTCCGATGAGATAATACTATAAAGTTAGTCAGATTATGTTAGTGTGCTGATAAGTGCGTTTTTGTCTATATTTTTACCCCTTCTTGAACCAATTTTATTTGTGAATTGCTTAAAAACTTGTGTGAATTGTGACTAAGTTATGTTGGTTTTATTTCAAGGTGCAATCATTCACAACAAGTGAGAAATTCAATGATTTTTGGAAGATACGAGCAATTTTTGGATCAAGAGATCAATCAAAGAGTTTGGAATGCATTTAGGAATTTTCAGCAGCCTCGTACCCCCTCCCGTACGCCCATCCATCAGCTCATCCGAGATTTGAAAAACGAAGCAGGTGGCGTACGCCCATCCATCAGCCCATCCGAGATTTGAAAAATGAAGCAGGTAGCGTACTGCCACTGGTATGCCCATCCCACAGGGCGTACGATATTTCTGCCCAAAACCAGTGTTCACTGGAAATGCACCAAAAATGGTACGCCCTGGCGTATGCCCATCCCTGAGGCCATCCCACTGTGCTCTGCTCTATTTATGCGCGTTTTTGGGTCATTTCAACTCGGTTTTGGACCTTGTTCCAACCCTAGACATTTCCTTTCACTTCCTTTCATATTTTTAGGTTAGATTAGACTTAGATTTATGTTTCTTAACACTTTTGAAGCTTGTAATCTTGGATTTGGAGATTGGATTTCAACATTTCAAGATTGTTCTTCCATTTTCAATACATAAGTTCTTTTTCCTTTTATCTCTTTACTTTGCAAGATTTATGTTTATTACTTGTGTTCTTGTATTCTTTATGCTATTTAATCATGAGTAGTTAGTTTTTGGACTTGAGTTAGGGTTGTATTATCTATCTTGATGCTTGATTTGTGATTATTGCAAAAAAGGGGAAGAACTCCAACCTAGGGTTCATGTGTTTGTGAAGGTTTTGTATTTATATCTTGTTAATGTTTGATGTACACATTCATTAGCTTGTTTTTGGAGGATTCCTTGCCTCAACGAGAGTTGGGTGATGAATCCAAGCCACCCCTTGCATAGACCCGATTTCTTCCTACGAAAATAGGGGAAATTGGGGGCTTTAGATGCTTTGTGTGCTTGATGGACTTGGAATTGATTCACCACGAAAGTGGGGCAATTCCTTGTTCTAATCCTTGTTTATTAATCATGAGAATGGTTCGTAGACTAGGATACCTACGTGCATTCCCGCTTGTTTCCTTGGTTACTTGTTCTCCCTAATCCCTTAGGTTGTTAAAGCATCTAGATGATAATGCTCCCTAGCTTGAGTCCTATCTCTTTATTTTGTGTTTATCTTTGTGTATATGTGTTAGTCTTATCATTTCCTTAAACTTGTAGTTTGCTTAGCTTCTTGTTGATTTCCTTATGCTAGTGCCTAGTTTATTGTGATTGCATATTGCGTGCCATATCCCCCAATCCCCAGAGGACGACATTACACACCCGAGCTCACATCTTATTTTTGCTACACATCAAAAATTGGCGCCGTTGCCGGGGATTGGCAATTTGGTGGTTCTATGTGATTGCTTGTTTTACTAGCATTGGAGTTTAGGGAATCTTAGGAGACTAAGCTTTTTTTTTTCTTTCTTTCTTTTTTGTTTGTTTTTATTGTTTAAAGAGCTAATTGTCTTACCTTGATTGAGATTTGGTTGAAGGATCTTTTCTTTGTGCATTCACTCTTAATTGAAAAGGAAGAGTTTTCACCACTCAATCAAGAACTTTGAATTATGGAGGGGTATGATTTCCAATAGCAACGAATGTCATTGCCCGATTTCATCAAAATGGGTATAAAGACCTTTCAAGGTGGTCCGCTTCAATCATTCCTTTCTTATTCTAAGTGGTGTTCCTATTGTGGTGAAGCCCATGCATTGGAGAATTGCTACAAGTTAAACTTCACAAGCCCAACACCACCTCAAGATTGTCAACCTTTCCCTCAAGAGTGTGGTATCAACATGAGTCAAGAAGAAACTTTTCAAGCTTTGGAGCCACAATCTCCATGGTGTGCTATATGTGGTGGTTCTCATGCTTTGGAAAGTTGCCATATTTTGACTCCCACTTACCAAGTGCCTCATCAAGATGATCAACAACAAGCTTTGGAATATAATGTCAATGTCAATGAAGAAGCTTTTCAAGGAGGTGCACCACCAATGTTCATGCCACAACCTCTTTGGTGTGCCATATGTGGAGGACCACATGAAGCCGAAGGATGCTACATCTTTGATCCTAATTTCCAATATCAAGGCCAAGTTCAAGAACCTCCACATCAAGAACCTCAACAAGAATATCAATACCAATTTCAAGAAGTCCCTTACCAAGAACCTCAACAAGAATGTCAACCATTTGATCAAGAGTCCGAGATGAAGTCCATGATGGCCAATATGCTTATGCAAATGAATGAGCTACAAGTTCAACTAGACAACTTGATGGCTCAAAGACAAGGTTTGGCAACTCAAGAACCCATTCAAGAATTATCTTCCAATGGAGAGGTTCTACAAGAGTTGCTCTTGCCAAATGAAGGTCATGTGGTTGAAGAAAATAAAAAGCGAGGTGAGGACCTTGAAGATAAAAATGAAAATGATGAGGTTTATGATGAGTGCATTGAGATGGAAACACCAAGTTGGGAAGAGAGTATAGAGTTGCAAGGAAATGGTGATAAGGAACAACAACTTGAAAATGGTCCAATTGAAGAAATGCTCAAGAATGATGAAATTGATGAAATTTGTGGCACACATGAAGAATGCCCTTCAATGGATGACACTCCCTTGGATGAGGACTTTAGAGTGATTTGGGAACCGGGAGGAGTCAATATTCTTGAAAGTGTAGGTCCTCATTGGCCTATATTCATATCCAAGGATTCTTACTTCCTATTAGTGCATGACGGAGACCCAAGGTTTCCATTACTTGCTCAAGAAAAGGGAAATCATGAGAATGGAGACTTTGGGATTGGTCAATCTCATATCTACTACCAAGAAGCAATGTTTAGGAAGAAATCCTTGTTTGACTTATGGATTAAAAATGGTTTCGAGGAAGGGATATGTTTGAAGTTTGATTTGGATGAGCATAGTTTCTTAAACTTTGAAGTGGTGAAGATGAGCTTAAGAGAATTTATTGATGGCTACCACTTGAAGTGCTTTTTGGAAGAAAAGGTCGATGGAAAGAAGGGGATCTTCATTCTCAAATCCTTTGATGGTTTACCTTGAGAGGATGAGTCGAGCTAGCGACGTTAAACTTAGCGCTTCATGGGAGGCACCCCATGTTATCTTTCATTTTATTGCACTTTACTTTCTTCTTTATTTTTCTTTACACTTTTATTTTTGATATATCATGCTCTCACTTGTGCTTATTGTGCTACCTTTTCCCCCTTGTGCTTTATTTTCTTTTACATCGAGGACGATGTAATTTCTAAGTGTGGGGGGATGGACAAAATATTGAAAAAAATTTGAAATTTTGAAACTTTTTGAAACTTTGCTTGGATGACTCATTGTGCATAGTGTTTGGTAAATTGTTTTTCCTTGCTTGAAGTTGTGATTACTCCCTCTTTGTTGGTTTGTGGTTTGTTTTGGTGGAACTTGTTGCAATTTAACTTGTGATTGATGAGCCAAGGGGTAATACATGATTGATCTATTCTCTTGCCAATAGCCTTGTTAACCACTTAATAATTGAATCAATTCTTGATCTAGTGTGTTGTGCATTGCTAGTGAAGGCTTATGTGAGATTCCGGTTATGGTTGTTTTGCTAGAACTTGCCTCATTACTCCTTGTGTGAAGTCTAAGGTTTGCGTGTTTAGAAATGATTTAGGCCATTTTTGTTTAGCCCAAGCCTTTAAACCTACCCTTACATATGTTTTTATCCCTAGTTGTCCCCGTTGAGCCATTTGTTTGTTTAATAAGTGCTAAGCACTTGTCCCTACATTGTGATTGTTTTTCCTTGTGTTAACCCTCATCATTTAACCCTTAACCCCTAGCCAAAATGTTTCCTTCCACCCTTGAGAGAATAGAACATTTATTCTTTTTCTTGGAAGATATCTTTATTGGAGCTTGTTTTGTTAGCAATCCTCTTGATAATTTTGTCTAAGTGTGGGGGTCTTGATTCGTTGAATAAGTTTGTTGGTTGATTTGAAAAGAAAAAAAAAAGATGTTGAGTAAATTGAGAAAAAGTGTTGAAAAAGATGAGAAAAATGAAAAGAAAAGGAAGAAGAATAAAAGTTTGAAACTTGATTCTAGTTTGTGTTCAAAGTTGTACTCAACCCCCACCTCTTTAGAGTGTTGCTTTTTGTTCCATTGTAAATTGCTCCTTAGTTTATAGATGTCATATCTCTTCTAGCCTCAATTGTGAATAGATGTGAAGTTCTCTCCTTTGTTTATTTTCCTTACCCCTTCTTTGTTAACCTTTCACCCTTAGCCCCATTACAAGCCAAATAAAAGTCCTATTTGATCTTAGCATGCAATCTTAGAGTTGAACTAGTGGGAGTATGAAGGACAAGCCTATGGAATCTCATTCAAAGCCAAGTTTTGCATAATCTCAACTTAGCATTTGTGCACACTTGATCATCACACACTTAAATAATTTTGGTGCTTTGTTATTGGCTTGAGAATGGAACTTGTGTGCCAAGCTAAGGTGATTCTTGAAACAAGTTGTTTTGTAACAAGTTGGATTGTGGTTTGATAGGTTGTGCAAAGTGGGAGAATGATCAATTTCATTGCTAGGTTGGTAATTTATTTCTTGTCTTTGCTTGAGGACAAGCAAAAGTTTAAGTGTTGGGGAGTTGATAAGTGCGTTTTTGTCTATATTTTTACCCCTTCTTGAACCAATTTTATTTGTGAATTACTTAAAAACTTGTGTGAATTGTGACTAAGTTATGTTGGTTTTATTTCAAGGTGCAATCATTCACAACAAGTGAGAAATTCAATGATTTTTGGAAGATACGAGCAATTTTTGGATCAAGAGATCAATCAAAGAGTTTGGAATGCATTTAGGAATTTTCAGCAGCCTCGTACCCCCTCCCGTACGCCCATCCATCAGCCCATCCGAGATTTGAAAAATGAAGCAGGTAGCGTACTGCCACTGGTATGCCCATCCCACAGGGCGTACGATATTTCTGCCCAAAACCAGTGTTCACTGGAAATGCACCAAAAATGGTACGCCCTGGCGTATGCCCATCCCTGAGGCCATCCCACTGTGCTCTGCTCTATTTATGCGCGTTTTTGGGTCATTTCAACTCGGTTTTGGACCTTGTTCCAACCCTAGACATTTCCTTTCACTTCCTTTCATATTTTTAGGTTAGATTAGACTTAGATTTATGTTTCTTAACACTTTTGAAGCTTGTAATCTTGGATTTGGAGATTGGATTTCAACATTTCAAGATTGTTCTTCCATTTTCAATACATAAGTTCTTTTTCCTTTTATCTCTTTACTTTGCAAGATTTATGTTTATTACTTGTGTTCTTGTATTCTTTATGCTATTTAATCATGAGTAGTTAGTTTTTGGACTTGAGTTAGGGTTGTATTATCTATCTTGATGCTTGATTTGTGATTATTGCAAAAAAGGGGAAGAACTCCAACCTAGGGTTCATGTGTTTGTGAAGGTTTTGTATTTATATCTTGTTAATGTTTGATGTACACATTCATTAGCTTGTTTTTGGAGGATTCCTTGCCTCAACGAGAGTTGGGTGATGAATCCAAGCCACCCCTTGCATAGACCCGATTTCTTCCTACGAAAATAGGGGAAATTGGGGGCTTTAGATGCTTTGTGTGCTTGATGGACTTGGAATTGATTCACCACGAAAGTGGGGCAATTCCTTGTTCTAATCCTTGTTTATTAATCATGAGAATGGTTCGTAGACTAGGATACCTACGTGCATTCCCGCTTGTTTCCTTGGTTACTTGTTCTCCCTAATCCCTTAGGTTGTTAAAGCATCTAGATGATAATGCTCCCTAGCTTGAGTCCTATCTCTTTATTTTGTGTTTATCTTTGTGTATATGTGTTAGTCTTATCATTTCCTTAAACTTGTAGTTTGCTTAGCTTCTTGTTGATTTCCTTATGCTAGTGCCTAGTTTATTGTGATTGCATATTGCGTGCCATATCTCCCAATCCCCAGAGGACGACATTACACACCCGAGCTCACATCTTATTTTTGCTACAATCATGTGCCTGAAGCAATTAAATTGTGAAGGGGAATTCCTAATATTTTTTTATTCAAATCTAACTTACGGCATATCACAATCCAATCCCTCAAGGATTGTTATACCTAGTACATGTTTTCAAAATAAACATTTCCCTATTTGCGTTATTATTTATAGTGCGCAGTCTATTTCAATATATCACCACCACAGCGTACCTCTAAAAAGGCTACCAAAGAACCCTCTGTCTCTTGATTAATTAATACCAAGAGCACATGATAGGAGACCAATACATATCCTTAGGTACGCTGACTGGATACTTAATTAATGAAGATCGTTTCTCGGCATTAGGAGGAGATAAGATTCAAATTTAATAGAATGCCAAGAAATTTCATAAATGAAAATATCTTCATTATTTAAATCCATGTACTAGTTAGACTGAACTAAAAGTTCAGAAAATGATATATTTGTGATATTAGCAAATAATCTGCCAAATACATCTATTGATCATAAAAGAGTGACTAGGTCCATATACCATCCCCAATTTGGACCAAATATATCTATCGATGCCTCTTGATGCCAGAAGTGTAGGAGATCTATCGGTGTAAGAGATAAGAATCATTATACTAGATCTAGTAAATAAACATTGTCACTCTTGATATACCTTGAATAATTATGTCTTGGAGACGTTCGTCCAGATGACGAAAAACCCTAGTCAATCTATAGGTGCACTAAACAAACATAATACTAGGGATGCGGGACAACCAGATGTGATCTGAATAAGTTCTGGGAAATGTCTAGAATCTGGTTGACTTAAATATTGCCATAAACAACTATAAATATGGGAGAGATTTATGAAAGTATTATAGTTGTTGACAACACAATAGCCTGTACAAATTGCTCCATTATATGATAATCTGGATCCAGAGTTATGCACTGGAAGTGCCATGACTATTTAACGTATAAAGGAGCAATTAAGGCATAGCTCGACTCGTTAATTATTAATAATTCTCTTTATAACAATACATCGTTGAGAGTTAACGTCGAAGGTTACAAGTGGGTGTGTGCACGAAAGAGAAATAAGAATAATGAGGTGATATGATATAAAGCGAGTTTGTAGTCTTATGGGTTCACGCAGATACCCTTGATTGATTTTAATCAAACATATTTTCCAACGATATATGGCATTAAGTTCCGATACATCATTGACAGAATAATAAATTAGATATGCAACTAATATTAAATTCAAAAGTCCCCGAAGGATTTTAAGTTCTCAAAATGAGAAAAAGTAACATTAAAATATTAAGGTCTTTATAGGACTTGAAATAGTTAATATTTATTTTGAGAAATTCCTGATGGATTTATAATTTCTGAAATGAGAATTTAAGTGTCATTATATTTACTCTTTAAAGGGTTGCGAATGGAGTTAATATCCCCATTGAAGGAATAATATGTACCATTGTGTGCTCGATAAAGGGTTGATAATTAACTTATTTATTATTTATTATCTACGTCAATATTGATGGTGGAAAACATCAATGAAATATATAAAGGGTTTGATGATGTCAGCCTATATCTAAAGATGGAGATTTTGAAACAAAAGCTTGGGAAAGCTAAGTATTATCTCGACTTGAAGATAGAGTTTTTCCTTGAAGAAATTTTTATACACCAGTTAGTCAATATATGATTTTGATTGGATACTTAGACAAACAAATATATAATGGCTACTTGGGTACTGACTATTACTTTTGTATCTCCATAATGCCAACTTTCAAAATTGATTGTACTATTTTTACCCCATTGCCCCATGGAGGGTCAATAAAAGGATATATAATGAAATCCTTTTGACTAGATACTATGATATTAATATTATAGCACGTGAACTCCAGAAGAGTCACGAGATTATTATAGAGTATATTTATTCAAATGACAGTTGTATATATTTATTACAAAATCCCTCTATACAGTTTGGAAATTTAATGTATGAGAATTAAAGATTGTTATCTTGAGGGGGAGTATCATTTTACATGAATCAATCCTGAAGATTGGGTCTTAGATGACTAACGGTTGTACTCTTTTCCTTAGTTAAGTTTTTCCCCACGGGGTTTTTCCTTAAATCTAAGGTTTTTAATGAGGCAGCTAATCTAAAAAGAATACACATACATCATCATGCACTCTTTTGCTCAACTAGTTTTTTCCCAATGGGTTTTCTAGTGAGGTTTTTAACGAGACATGAGTATGATATAGTAATGTAAATGGGAAAAAGTTGCAAAATAATTGCTTAAGTAGACAAACCCCAAAATCCTGAAGATTATGTCGATTGTGCCCGGAAGGTTTTGGTTATACTCTTTTTCCCTTAACTAAGTTTTTCCCACAGGGTTTTCTTAAGTTAAGGTTTTTAATGAGGCAATCAGTACAATATATGTTCTTACAAAAATCCAGTCCGGATGCGTGGGCTGCTACACTGATGCGGGCTTTGACGGCGCGACACCAACCTATGGCTTTTATGTACGCAGCGCACAAGGTGACTTCGTCGCGGCTGCTAATGGACCACTCATATGTCCGTACGATCCACTACTAGCTGAAGCAATGGCGATACGAGAGGCCCTATCATGGTTACAAGATCACGGCTTTCATAATGTTGCGGTGTTCACGGATTGTGCAGTCCTGGTTTCTTGCTTCTGCGATACGTCTATCTACCGTTCGTATCTAGGTGTTATTTTAGACTCATGTTTACAGTTGTTTCGTTCTTTTCAGTATTGCTCGATTAATTTTGTACGCAGAGATGCCAATTCGGTAGCTCATGCCTTAGCAAAACATGTTAGTGCGACTAACGCTCGTTCGGTCTGGAGGAATTATCCTCCGCCCTTTGTCTCGTCTACAGTTTAATGCAATATGATTTCCTTGGCTTTCAAAAAAAAAAATGTTCTTACAAAAATCATGTACTCTTTTCTTCAACTAGGTTTTTCCCACGAAGTTTTCCTAGTGAAGTTTTTAACGAGGCATGAATATATACATATATATACTCTTTTGTCTTGGTTTTTACCACAAGGTTTTCCTAGCAAGTTTTGAAGAGGCAGGATCATGTCAAATAATGTCCAAGGGGGAGTGTTATAAATATTATTAATGTGGACATTATTATATATATGGTAACAGTTGTAACTGATAAGGTTACTACCTTTTATATGTATTCATTACCTTATATTTGTAATACCTTTGTATAAGTATTCGGGATGATGAATGAGAGTGATAACCTTCCCTCTCCTCTCTTTGTCTATTCTAATATTCTTACAACAAAATATACTTTATATACATAATTACAAAAATGCTAAATCAATTATAAAAAAAGCATTGCCAATTTATCAAATATAATATTATACTCTGTAATAATTAATTTCATTTCTCCGTATTTGTTATTTCAAAAATTCAAATTAGTTTTTTTTTTGAAGGTCAATCTTGCGATTGTATTAATGAATCAAAGCCGAAATAGCGTCAGGTGGGATAGCAATACATAGCTTGATCCTGTGTAAATGCTAACGTAGCTAAAGTATGCGCATGTAAATTAACCTGTCTAGAGATGTAATCCAAAGTAATACGATTAAATAAAGACATAAACGTTCTGCACTGGTCAATCGTGACCCCAACGTACGAATGGATCGGCGTGTGATGGTGTCGGATAATTGTAGCCAATTCCATGCAATCCGTGAGTAAACTTACTGATGTGTTGTTTCGTTCAAGTAGCCAGGATAGTGCTTCCTTGTATGCCTGGGCCTCCGCCATAAGTGGTGAAAAACAAATCGGTAATTTGCCATTCCTTGCTGCCACAAAAGAGCCATCTGGCGCTATTATTATCATGCCGTACGTAGCCTCGCCCGTGTCGTGCCGGAAACCCGCGTCCACATAACACCGTAGACCGCCCTCTCCTGCACCGTTTAAGTGCTCCGTTGCCGCTGCCAGCTCGGTTCGGCGGACATGGGCAGCGCCGTATGCCTGTAGTGTTACGGTGGCTGCTCTGGCTAATTGGGCAGGTCGCATCATTGATCCCTTCCAGACAGCTGAATTCCGGGCTCTCCAAATATAATATAATATTGCTACCATTAACCGGGTCTGTTCCTCCGTTAAGGCCGCCATAGCCCCTTTTAGCCATGTTGTAAAAGAGTCTGCAATAATATTAGTAATAGGCAATTGTGTTATATTCCAAACAAGTCTAGAATATTCACAGAGTACTAAAGCATGCATCACATCTTCATGATCTAAACTACACATTGGGCATGTTGGGTCCACCTCCACCCTTTTAAATATCAAGTTAAGGGTTGTTGGCAAAATGTCACATATGGCTCTCCACAAGAAAGTTTTCCATTTGGGGGACTTTTATTTTCCACATTGCAACCCATTTATCAAAATTTGCTGGATTATTCTCATAATCACCCACAATATGCCTATAGGCATTCTTTACTGTATATGTCCCCTTGGGGTCACTCATCCAATACCATGAGTCCTCATACTCAGGACTCACAGGGATCATATTTATTCGCTCCACATCTTCAGGAATAAATAAGTCAGACAAAATATGTGGATCCCAGGTATGAGTCTGTAAATCAATTAATCCTGCAACTCGTGCCTCTCTCAATTGCTGTGGCATTTCTGTTTGAATCAACGGGCTAGGATTATCTCGTAACCACGGATGTCCCCATATTAAAGTTGTCTGCCCCTTCCCAATTCTCCTTCGCACCCCTGAGACTACCATTGCATGAGCTGCCATTATACTTCTCCAACAGTAACTTGGGCAATTACCAATAGTTGCATCTGTAAAACTGGTTGTGGGATAATACCTTGCCTTATAAATTCTAGCCACGAGTGATCCTGGGTCCGTCAAAAAACGCCATGCCTGTTTACCCAGCATAGCTAGATTAAAAACCCTTAGTTCTTTAAAACCCATACCACCATACTTCTTTGGTATGCACAACCTATCCCATGCCTTCCAATGTATTCCCCTTTCTCTTCCATTCCCCCACCAATATTTATTCATAGTTCGCTCAATTGACTGACAAACTGTCTCAGGTAGCAAAAAAACACTCATCGAATAGGTAGGCATAGATTGCGCTACACTTTTCAATAACACTTCCTTTCCAGCCTGAGAAAGTAACTTTTTACTCCACGAACCAATTCGTTGCCTGATCTTTTCCTCCACATACGAAAAAACAGCTCTCTTATTTCTGCCTACAAAGGAAGGTAGGCCCAAATATTTTCCAAAATTGGGTGCTTGCACCACCCCCAGACAATCCGCTATGTGCACCCTGTCAACCTCCTGGGTATTTCTGCTAAAACATATATTAGATTTATTATAATTCACCACCTGGCCTGCCAATTTCTCATACCTTGCAAGGCACTGTCTTATAACTCCCGCCTCCTGGATATTTGCTTTAAAAAATAGGAGACTATCATCCGCAAAAAATAGGTGCGATACAGGTGGTGCCCCCCTTGCAACTCTGCACCCATGTATTGAGCCTGCCAACTGTTCATACTGCAATATCATCGATAGAGCTTCTGCACAAATAATAAATAAATACGGAGAGAGAGGGTCTCCCTGCCTGAGTCCCCTGGTTGGTTTTACGTGCCCTCCTGCTATACCATTAACCATTACAGTATAATTAACAGTCGTTACACACAACATAATGAGCTTTATCCACTTCTCACTAAAACCCATAACAGTCAGCATCTTTTCAAGAAAGTTCCACTCCATTCTGTCATAGGCTTTTGACATATCTAACTTCAAAGCACTCCACCCCACTCTACCACATTGCTTTCTATTCAGATAATGCCCCACCTCTGCTGCTACTAAAATGTTGTCAGTGATTAGCCTTCCCGGGATAAAAGCACTCTGGGATTCTGATATTAATCCTCCCATTAGTGTTTTCATCCTATTTGCTATCATCTTGGCCATAACTCTGTAAATGACATTACTCAACGCAATCGGCCTTAAATCTGCAACTGTCTCAGGCATCTCCTTCTTCGGTACCAAAACAATGTTAGTATCATTCAATCCCTCGGGGAATACACAGGAATTCAAAGCATTCGTTATAAAGCCAGATACATCTTCTCCCACTATCGCCCAAAACTGCTGGTAAAAACCCGGGTTTAACCCATCCGGACCCGGTGCCTTATCCGGATACATTGAAAAGAGAGCCTGTTTAACCTCATTAGTTTCAAAAGGGCGGTCAAGCATCACATTCTGTTCTAACGTTACTCGTGGGGCTAGGACCCCAAAAAGTGGATCATCACAACTCAATCCACTAGAGGCAAAAATATTGTCAAAATAACTTTGAATAGCAGCATGCATATCATCCCCCTCCACCCAGTTACCAGCATGACATTTAATACTAGAAATAAAATTCTTTTTCCTATGTGCAGAGGCATACCTATGATAAAATTTTGTATTCGTATCAGCCCCGCGTAGCCAGTGCTGCTTAGCTCGCTGCCTCCAGAACACATCCTCCTGGGCCTCGATTCGTTTAAGGGAATTCTCAATCTGTTGGTACTCAACTAGCGCTACCAAATCCCTTCTATCTCGTATGGAATCCTGCCTCTGCTGTAGCTGGTTAATTCGTTTCCCGAATTTATGAAACTGGTCTCCCCCCACCGCATTAATTTTTCTCCACACAACTGCTGGCAATGCAGCAATCCCTCCGTCTTCCCCTCCTGCCAGGTCATTTCTACTACTTCTTTGCACCCCTCATCTAATAGCCAAGCCATTTCAAACCTGAATCTCCGCGGCCCCCTTCCCCTTGGCATGCACATCGCATTAATACTGAGGAAAAGGATCGAGTGATCCGAGGCCCGGGTTCGAATATTCTCCAACCATGCATTCTCATTTAGCAGACCCCAATCATTCGTTATTAAAGCCTTGTCCAACCTTTCCTCTATCCAATTCGGCGTCCCCTTTCCCTTCTGCCACGTAAATTGGTGGCCTCTCATTGGCATTTGCATCAAACCACAGTCATCCACAGCATCTCCGAAACCCCGTAACAGACTATTAGGATACGGATTTCCCCCTTCTTCTCATGCTGATATAGAAGATTATTAAAGTCTCCTATCACCACCCAGGGCAATAAGGATCTAGTCTTCAGAGTACCAAGCAAATCCCATGTCTCCTCCCGCCTACCACGCTCGGGGATACCATAGATACATGTCATGCGCCATAACTTATTAAACAAGCTTACTTCCACATCAATATGACTCTGCGAGTAGCTTAAAAGCCTCACCGTATTATTCTTCTTCCATAAAAGCGCCATTCCTCCACTCAAACCATCGTTATCAACATAAAACAAACCTTCATACCCAAGCGTAACCCAGATCCGTTCTGCATGTATCCGTGGTACCTTGGTCTCCATCAAGAACACAAAATCCGGCTTCTTACTGGACGCTAGGCCCACAATCTGTCGAACTGTGTGTGGATTGCCCAAGCCACGACAGTTCCAACTCAAAGTACTCATGATGATGGGCGGGGCTGAACACCAGCTCCCGCCATGGACAAGGTTTTTGAACCAGCCGCATTTGTTACCTCATCGTTTCCACTATCTTCTCCCCCCTCCGTCCCATGCCTACGACGCTTTGCCGTAGCCACCACCACCTCATCCTCAGACATACTCGTGGGTGTGACACCCCCACTCCCTTGTCCCCCCTCTACCACACGTAGCTTGACTCCCAATGGTCGTGGTTTCCCGCCAACCGGAACAAGCCAGCTATCCCCAACCGCTCTAGGAGCGCTCCGGGATCCACCAGCTCGCATATCCGGGCCGTACAGGTACCTTTCGACCGGAATTCCAGCCTCTCTAGCGTGTATACAGAAAGTATGCAAGTGTCCCATACAACCACAAAAGTAGCAAAACTTATGCAGCCGTTCATACCTAAAATTTACCCATGCTGTAGTCCCATCTCTCTTCATCAACCTCATCCTTCTTCTGAGTGGCCTATCAACCGAGATTAACACCCGAATACGGTGAAACGTTAGCCATGGCGCTCCCTCAAATCGGTCATCATGTTTAACAAAAGAGCCCAAAAAATTCCCTGCCTGTTCCAGAATTGTATGCGACGTGTATCCCTTTGGCATATCATGCAACTGTACCCACATGTCAATCATATCCAACTCTACATCCACAGGATTTACCCCATCCAACACCTCTCGACACACAAGAGCATTATTCTCAAAAGCCCAGGGCCCCCCATTCAGCACGTATTCCATATCCGTCTTATGGAAAAAAACAAATAAGAACAAACCCCTTTGAATTTCCGTTACCTGCACTCCACGTACCGGTTGCCAAACAGACGCCAGAACCTGCCTCATAAAGTCCAGTTTTATCATCTTCTGCGTCAAAAACCGCCCGACAATCCTCCAAGTCTCGTCCTCCTCCTCCCCATCTCCCTCTACCACCGCATCTCCACCTTCCGGCATAAACACCGCCCCCTCCTCCTCCATCAACGTCATCTCCGCCCATCTATCCGTCATCTCCGCCACACCCCCCACTACCCCTTGCTGCCGTGTAGACCCCCCATCTCCCCTCCCATGGTGAACCGTACCCATTCTGCCTCTATTCCCTCCTCTACCCATACTGCCTACATCAACTCCACCCAAACCACCCACGCCACCCCCATGCAAGCCACCTAAACCACCTGCCAACACACCTCCCCCACGCCCCAAACCTTCGCCACGTTCCCCCGTTTCCCTACCTTCTCGAAACCCTTGTGTCGGCTGCAACCCAGCACTGGCTCCGTATTCCCTCCCTACTTGCCCCCCACTAACAGTTCGCCTTGCATCATGCATTCCATCCATCGTCCGGCGCCTTTCAACACCTTCCGATAATCCCCTAACCCGCGCTTCTTCCATCTCGGCCAGCCTCTCATCACGTCGGTTGTCCTCGCCATCCATAACAACATCATCGACCATCTTTCAGGGAGGATTAGAACAAAAATTATCTGAAAACCTAGGAAAACCCTAGTAGATCTGCAAAAACCCTAGAGAGAATCTAGAGAGAGAATTTTTTTGGAAAACCCTAAAAATTCAAATTAGTTCAATTCTTTCAATTCTGCTAATTTATTTTACATATACTTTATATACATTATATATATAATACATAATTACAAAAATGCTAAATCAATTATACAAAAATCATTGCCAATTTATCAAATATAATATTATAATAATTAATTTTATCAAATTTCATAACTTCAATTATGCTACCACTACCACTATATAAATCAAGCATTTCAAGAAACATATTACCACTACCAATTTCATATATTTCATTGAATCTCACTGATTCAATTACATATTCTCCATATAAAATAATCTACATATAATATAATGGCTCCTACTTTTGTTTTATTGAATAAAATAAACGCCTATAGTGCTGCGTGGGCAATAAAAGTACGATTGATTCGTCTCTACGAAGTCAAGAATAATCGCGTAGCAACCTTAGAATCTGTGCTTGAAAATGTGGAGGTATATGTTGTTATTTACATTTGGTATTCTTTTGACTTAATAATATCTTAATTATGTAAATGCATTGGCATATTGAAATCTGTCTTTAAAAGACATATATTAATTCTTTAATTTTTTTTTATACTTTTCCATCAAACAGTATGAAAAATAAACATATCACCATATTTTTGAAAAAAAATTATTAAAATCTATATATTTTTTTATGCACCATTACATAAAGAAAAAAAAAAAAAAAAAAAAAAAAGAGACTATATGATCATTAAAAATTTGGTGTATTTATAATATTGCCTCAATGGTACCTTTAAATATAAAGTTACCATAAGGGTTTCTGATGGCCGTGGAATGCATTGTTCCAATTATGGGATCGTGAATGCACTGAGTTGTTTGGAAAATCTGCATCAGAATTTGAAAAAACTTATGTGGAGGTTAGAAATAATTTTTGTATTATATTATGCTTCTTCTACACACACACACACACACACACACACACACACACAATTTTTTTAATTTATTTTGTACTAATTGAATACTCTTTATTCTTTAGGACGAAATGAATTCATTCCCACCTAAAATGGATGCTATAGTTGACCAACACGTTTTGTTTAAGATTCAAGTAAAGCCAGAGAACATATTAAATATGTATGAACCTTTGTCCGTGATGAAACTTTGTCGTGAACCATGACTTATTTCAAAAGTTCGTGATAGTATGTTGCTAGAGAACCAGGTTGAAAATATCTAAAAATTTCAATTATTTGAATTTTAATAGTTTATAGTTTATTACTTTTAAATAATAAAAAGTAAATAATATATGTACTTTTATTCTATCGGATTCAGATGCATTTTCCACATTATAACTTGGACAAGTTAACAGTGTTGAGGTAATTTCTCTTTGTAATTTAATAAACTATTTTTATATTTATTCTTCTAGCTTCGTAAATATTAGTCAATACAGAATTATGTTCACTTTTTGTTTTTTTGTTTTTTTTTAAGGAATTATTTTTCGGGGGTGAGGTCACCACACCAGTATAAGAACAACCCCAACAAGATGCTGAAATTGAAATAATTGAATCTGGATCTTCCAATCACAGCGTTAAGCGTAAACTGGATGATTCATTTTCATCAAGCGTAGCTGGTCGCGGTAGACCATCGAATATAGAACACGCTTGAGCTGGTATAGCAGCTCTCAACAAGAGCACCAATGATGGATTTAATTACCCGGGGTAGACCCGAATCACTAAATCCGGATAAGAATATAATATGAATAATAAATAAATAATATAGAATGATGTCGTAAAAGGCCGTGAGACCATATATTATATTAAATGCCGTAGAATTGGCTATTACAACGATTTGATAAGACAAAGTGTATAGAACAGTGAGTAGATGTCCTAAAGAGACAAGGTGGAGGGGTTTTTATATGCAACAAACCCCCCAACCGCTCCCCCTAAAAAGGGGGGCGGTTAGATCGCCCTTTGACCGGGGACCCGGGCGGACCGGGTCGGGTCGGGTGCCGAGCTCCCCTACCTGAGCTCGCTATGGACCGAGCTCGGGTAGGGTCGTGCTACCCAACCCGAGCCCCATGTACCTCGGCTCTGGTCGGGGCACGTCCATGATGCCGTGGGCCGGGTGCTTTTGGGCTCCAACGTGGTGCTCCGGGTCCGTGTTGCTACCCCGGGTCGGGTCGTGGGTATAATATATCCGTCAGTGAAGTTAGAGAAATCTTGAAATTGCATAAGTTTTGGGTTTAATTGGTGGACTATTTATGAGAAATTTTTTAAAGTTATATTTTATTTTTATTTTTTTTGGTTAAGTATTTGGGTTATTTTGTTGATGTTCATGAATAATGTTGAATAATGTTTGGGTTTAGATTTGTGTATTATACACAATGATTTATTCTATTGTTAAATGTTGCATTAAATTTTTTTATTCCAATATATTATATTTTAATCTAAGATTTATTAATTATTATACATGGATAATTAGTTCAATTAACAACCTTATTTTAAGCTATAAATCAATTAGCTATGTAAAGCAAAGCAAACACTATCGAACATAATAAACAAAAATATATAACATACATATTCCACATACAATATGATTGACTGGTTACATTGCAGATTATAAGAATACATGAAATGAGGACAATTTCCTTGCGTATATAATTGTGCATCCATCCCTGCACAATTAACATATGAAAATCAAGAAAACACAAGATAAAATAAAAATGAAAACTATCTACATGCACAAGATAGTGATAAGTAGAGGTTTTTTTAACAATTAATAACACAAAATAACAAAAATAAAAACACTTTGCAATTTGCAGTATTTATGTAACAATTAACTCATTTCATCAACAGTGCAATTATAAATTTCTGCGAACACCACGATGTAAAATAAAATCAAATTTTATTCAAAATCATTCTAAATATGACCAATATTAAATATTTTATATGAACCAAATCGGTAAAACAATTATAAATTATTTAAATTTATCTTGATGTAAAATAAAATCAAATATTTATTGAAAATCATTCCAAAAATGAGATAACTAAATTTATATCGTTTTTAAAAGCAAAATCATTCTAAATATGAGATAACCTTATCATTGCGTATTGGATCTAATTTACCAAATTTAATATTATAATAATTAAATAATTTCATCAAATTTCATGACTTCAATTCTGCCAAATCATTTTAAAATTCTTAACGAAATTGCTGTATTTATGTAACAATTAACTCATTTCATCAACAGTGCAATTATAAATTTTTGCGAACACCACGATGTAAAATAAAATCAAATATTATTCAAAATCATTCCAAATATTACCAATATTGAATATTTTATATAAGCCAAATCGGTAAAATAATTATAAATTATTTGAATTTATCTTGGTGTAAAATAAAACCAAATATTTATTGAAAATCATTCCAAATATGAGATAACTAAATTTATATCATTTTTAAAAGCAAAATCATTCCAAATATGAGATAACTAAATTTATATCATTTTTAAAAGCAAAATCATTCCAAATATGAGATAACTAAATTTATATATTTTTAAAAGCAAAATCATTCCAAATATGAGATAATCTTATCATTGCTGATTGGATCCAATTTACCAAATTTAATATTATAATAATTAATTTCATCAAATTTCATAACTTCAATTCTGCTAAATCATTTTAAAATTCTTAACGGAATTGTAGTATATTTATTTATATAATTATTTCTATATGAACGTATGTAACTGTCAATTCCATTATTTACAATATACATAATATACTTTAACAATGTAAAAAAAAAAAAAAAAAAAAAAACATTAACTACTACAAATTTATAGGCCGTGAATCGCACGGGTATCATACTAGTTAAAATAAAAAAGATTGATTGAAGGATAACCTAACACTTAACTCAGCCTCATAAGTCATAAATATCTATACTATATATAAAAACAAAATCCTAAAATTTTAACTTCCCGCCCAATTCCTAAAAAATCTCTCTTCCCAATAAAATATATTAATTTCTACTTTCTCATTCGTACAATAATTTTGGGTAAAAATTCTATTCTAAAATTATAAAATAGTGTAATAGAATTCCCTTTGCACATTATACTTCTATACTATATATAAAAACAAAATCCTGAAATTTTAACTTCCCACCCAATTCCTAAAAAATCTCTCTTTCCAATAAAATATATTAATTTCTACTTTCCCATTCGTACAATAATTCTAGGTAAAAGTTATATTCTAAAATTATAAAATAGTGTAATACAATTCCCTTTGCACATCTATACTATCTATCTATACTATATATAAAAACAAAATCCTGAAATTTTAACTTTCCGCCCAATTCCTAAAAAATCTCTCTTCCCAATAAAATATATTGATTTCTACTTTTCCATTCGTACAATAATTCTGGGTAAAAATTATATTCTAAAATTATAAAATAGTCTAATACAATTTCCTTTGCACATCTATACTATATATAAAAAAACAAAATCCTGAAATTTTAACTTCCCGCCCAATTCCTAAAAAATCTCTCTTCCCAATAAAATATATTGATTTCTACTTTACCATTCGTACAATAATTCTGGGTTAAAGTTGTGAAATGTCAAAAGTTCGGCAAGGCATAACTTTTGACTCGATTGTCCGTTTTGGACTAATGTTTTTTTGAAATCGCGTATTTTTTCGAGATCTATCCACCGCAAACAACCGTAGGCGGTTTGGCCCACCGATTTCTAAAAAAAAATGCTTTATTAAATAGTTTCTAAGAAAAAACTTTGAGAACCTTATGTTTTATTAATGAATTTTTAAATTTTTTTAATTAAAAAATTGTCCCGTGCATTATTTAATAATCTCTCTGCATAATTGGTTAAATTATTTAATTAGGGTAAATTCGGGAATAATTAATGATGGTAATAAAAATCCTAGAAGAATATAGAATTGAAGAATATTTAATTATTGTTATATTATTATTGTGACTCACGGAATACAATACAAGAATATTTAATTATTGTTATATTATTATTGTTTCCCTCACGGCCATTATATACTAACAAAACTTGAAAAGAAACTAATAATAATAATAATAATAATAATAATAATAATAATAATAATATAAGTGGTAAAAATAATATCTAAAAGTAATTAAGTGTTAATAATAATAGTAAGAATATTAACGGAACAATTATAACATAGAATAAATCGTAATAATTAATAACTATAGTCTATGATTAAATTTGGAATTGTCAGGAAAGATAAGCGACCTCTGGTGAAATTAACTCCTAAATAATTATATATCGATTTAAATATTCTTAATATATTACAACAATTCCATTTCATGCATCGCACGGGTGAAAATACTAGTAATAAAGTAAATTTATAAAAGGGAAAATTACATCTTTAGTCCCTGAGTTATAACCAAGTTTCGACTCAGTCCCTAAGTTATGACCGTATCCGAGTTTAGTCCCTGAGTTATGAGCAAAGTGACGAGTTTGATTCATAGCGTTAATATTCTGTCTGCAGCTAACGGAAAATTTAAAAACAATTTAATAATAGAGGGGTAAAATATGAATTTCAAATTATAGTCTCCTTCTTATGTTGAAACTTATTGCGCCAGAGTCATTCTTTTCTTCTTATACCTACAATCGAATGTCTTTTTCTTTCCCAAGCTTTGATATCTCAAATTCGTCCACTTCCAAGCTGCGAAATTCATAAGTAAGTTGTTTCTCTATTTTATATGTTTAAATAAATAATCAATATTCTCTGTATTTATGAGCAAGAAAAATGTAACTTGGACTAGGTGTTTACTAACTTCATAAAGAATATTGATTACTTTTTTATTGATAATCAATATCATCCAAGTTACTTTTTTAATGATATAAAATAGAGAATATTGATTATTTATTTAAACATATAAACTAGAGAAACAAATTACCTATGAATTTCGCAGCTTAGAAGTTTATGAATTTGAGATTTCAGAGCTTGGGGAAGAAAAAGACTTTTGATTGTAGGTATAAGAAGAAAATAATTACTCTTGCGCAATGGATTTCAGCATAAGAAGGGGATCATAATTTGAAATTCCTATTTTATCCCACTATTATTAAATTGTTTTTAAGTTTTCCATTAGTTGCAGACAGAATATTAACGCTAGGGACCAAACTCGCCACTTTGCTCATAACTGAGGGACTAAACTCGGATACTAACATAACTTAGGGATTGAGTCAGAACTTGGTTATAACTCAGGGACTAAAGATACAATTTTCCCTTTATAAAATCTTATTTCATTATTAGCCTATTTCGTAATTTAGAAATAGATAAGTTTTTTTTTTTTGAAATTTATCAGTGCGTATATTAAATAATCAAATCAGAAACAAACATCGGAGGAACGTCCTCCCATGCCATAACGTCTGCCTGTGAAAAGGCGTTTGTTGCTAACGAATTTGAGTGAGGGCATGACACAGATTAATGCAATCTGTCTTGACGATAACCTCCGTAACGCCCCGATCCATGAGCCAGGCTAGAGCCTCCTTACATGCGAAAGCTTCCGCCATGAAAGGACCCTGGCAGGTTGGTAGAGGGCGTTCTTCGCCGCAACAAAACCACCATTCGCATGCTGCAAAACAAGGCCGAAAGTCCCCTGACCCGTTACGGCAACGAATCCTGCATCAAAGAAGCATTGGAGCCGCACGTCCGGTTGTGTACCGTCCCCAGCCGACTGCCGCACCCCATCCTCCACTGCCGCCGTAGGGTGAACTGTAGCCGAGGGTACGACCGCCGCACGCCATGCATCGAGGGCAGCCAACGCCGCAACATACACACGCCGTGGGATCCCCAACTGATATTCCCAAACGGCTGCATTGCGTTGCCTCCATAGGTGGTACATGATAGCCAACATAGATGAGAAATGTTTGTCATCAACTTTCTGGAACAAGGCTTGGAGCCACACACCAAAATCATCTCCCACCATACACTGCACCATCAATCCAGAAATATTCCATACACACTTAGAATAATCACATAATACTAGAGTATGCAAAATATTTTCAGAACAAAGACCACACAATGGGCATGTTATAGGAACCTCTACCCTCCTATTTATTAAGTTGTCCATAGTAGGAAGCACACCACTCACAACTCTCCACAAAAAAAATTTCCACTTTGGGGGCACTTTCAGGTTCCAAATTCTATTTCATGATGAGAAGCCATTAGGACGTACGGATATGGGTCCCATCAATTCACGGTAAGCTCCTTTAACTGTATAGATTCCGTTGGGATCCCCATACCAATACCATAAATCTTCGTAGGTTGGGCTTATAGGGACTTTAATAATCCGGTCAATGTCGCCTGGCTCAAAAAGTTCATTTAGCAAAGGCATATCCCATGTGGAGGTTACAGGGTCTATTAACCCAGAGACCTTGACTTCTCCCAAATGTTGAGGCTTATCTGTCAATACTCTAGGGGTGGAGTCACCCATCAACCATGGGTCCCCCATACTAACGTGTCATTACCATTTTCAATTCTGCGCCTGATATTTCGGTTGATTAGGCTATGAGTAGCCATTATACTCATCCAACAAAAGCTTGGGTTATTTCCAACTGTAGCATTCAAAAAATCAGTTCTGGGATAGTACCTGGCTTTATAAATTCTAGCAACCAGAGAGTGTGGGTTAGTAAGGAATCTCCATCCCTGCTTGCCTAGCATAGCCATATTAAATGCCCTTAGATCCTTAAACCCCATCCCACCAAACTTCTTTGGCTTACTCATTCGATCCCATGCCATCCAATGAATTCCCCCACCATCCTTCCCGTTACGCCACCAGAACCTATTCATAACACGTTCCAGGTTCTTACACAGCGAGTCAGGCAGTAAAAAAACACTCATAGTGAACATGGGCATAGCCTGGGCCACGGACTTTAACAAAATCTCCTTCCCCGCCTTAGACAACAATTTTTTATTCCAGGAGCAAATTCTCCGTCTGACCTTATCACCAATATACGCAAACACCGCCTTCTTATTCCTTCCTACAAAGGCTGGCAAGCCCAGGTACTTGTCCTGAGCCTGCTGTAACAACAAAGATAACCCCTCTGCACAGATAATAAACAAGTATGGAGACAAAGGGTCACCCTGCCGGAGGCCCCTAGAAGGAATTATCTGCCTCCCTGACGCCCCATTAATCATGATATTGTAGGATACAGTGGTGACACATTCCATAATTAAATTTATCCACCCCATCTCAAAGCCCAGAGCAACAAAGCATTTTTCTCAGAAACGACCACTCCATCCTGTCATAAGCCTTAGCCATATCCAACTTCAAAGCACCCCAACCAACCCTGCCCAGCTATTTTCTATTCAAAAAGTGCCCCACCTTAGCAGCTACCAAAATATTATCCGTGATTAACCTACCCGGAATAAAAGCACTCTGTGACACAGATATAATATCACCCAACATAGGCTTCATACGATTTGCAATAACCTTGGCAACAATCTTATACACTACATTACTCAGGGCAATCGGGCGCAAATCAGCTACTGACTCCGGGGTCTGTTTCTTTGGGATCAACACAACATTCGACTCATTGAGACCATGCGGCAATGAACCCGAATTTAAACATTCTAAGACAAATTCAGTGACATCCACCCCAACAATATCCCAAAACTGCTGGTAAAAGTCAAGATTCATACCATCAGGCCCCGGGGCTTTATCTGGGAACATAGCAAACAAAGCAGCATTAACCTCCCCCGGATCATAGGGTTGATTAAGCCACTCATTATGGGCCTGAGTAACACGGGGAGTGACCGAGGCAAAGAAATCAGCCCCATCAACCACATTCGGACTAGCAGTAAAGATATCAGTATAATAATTCATTACAACAGGTTTCAACTCATCACCATCTACCCACCTCCCCAACCCATCCTTAAGGCGCAGTAAAGTATTCTTACGTTTTCGAGCAGAAGCATACCTATGAAAGAAACGCGTATTTGCATCCGCCCCACGGAGCAGAAATAGATAAGTTAAAAAAATATATTTTTATAAATTGTTAAAAGTTTGAAATTTTATTTATTTATTAAAAACTAAATAGAGTTTGAATTGTTTTTTAAAAAAAAAAATAGTTTGTATATGTATCATCATAAATTAAAATGAATTTTTGTAACATTATATTATCTGAATAATATTAGATTATTATTATTAATATTTTCAGTGAGAATGAAAGCTGAGTTGCAAAGAAAAATAAAAATGGGCAACAAGTCATAGGAGGAGTGTTCCAATTCTCCAATATTTTTTTTTTGGAAAAATTCTCCAATAAAATTTAAACATTTGAGAATAAAAGTTCTGAGTGAATTTTTGGAATCGAAGTAATATTTTTAATAATATTAACCCTTGTAAATTAAGACCAATTAAAAGTTTTCGGACCAAATTTGAAGTGTACTCGCCGAATCTTAAAGCCGCTGCCTGCCACCTCGCCTCAGCATAACATTGTCTCCGGCAAGAATGGCCACCGGCGACACCAAACCCTCCTCCGACACCACATCTCAACCACCGGCACCCCAGCTAGAATCCTCCCCAAATCAAACCACCCCCGTACCCAGCCGCTCCATCACCACCGCCTCTACCCCCGCCACCATCACTTCTCGCCTCCCGGAAACTGACGTCATCAACGTACCCAGCTATTCCAGTATGTTCCCTTATCTAATTTTTATTTATTTATATTTTTCTCTCTGAAACCACTTCCCTTTTTGCAGGGTGGTTTTCATGGAACCACATTCACCAGGGAGAGGTCCGGTTCCTTCCAGAATTCTTTGATGGAAAATTCCCTTCGAAAAACCCTAGGGTTTACAAATATTATAGGAATACCATAATTCGTACGTTTAGAGAAAACCCCACCAGAAAAATCAACTTTACTGAGGTCCGGAAGACCATAGTTGGAGACGTAGGTTCGATTCGAAGGGTTTTCGATTTTCTAGAGACCTGGGGTTTGATTAACTACTCTTCCTCAGCCTCCAAGACTCAGCTCAAATGGGAAGACAAAGATACTAAGGCCTCTTTGCAGAGTAGCGACACTAATGCAGGTTCTGTGGATGTTCCAGTGCCCAGGAAGAGATTGTGCAGTGGCTGCAAGTCCGTTTGCAGCATTGCCTGTTTTGCTTGTGATAAGGTAATTAATTTTTCTCAACCCTTCTTCAGTTATAGCTTCGGATTGCTAAACAAAACTAAGATTCTTATGTTTAATTTGGGGTTTCAATTAACTCCTTATTGCATTGTACCTTATTTCATACAATGTAATTCTGTTTTATGATGGATGCAGTATGATATGATTCTTTGTGCAAGATGCTATGTACGGGGTAATTATAGGGTGGGTCTAAATTCTTCAGATTTTAGAAGAGTTGAGCTCAATGAAGAGGTGAAGACAGATTGGACTGAGAAAGAGACCTTGCTCCTCCTAGAAGCTGTCATGCATTTCGGTGATGACTGGAAGAAGGTAGCAGGGCATGTTGGTGGTAGAAGTGAGAAAGAGTGTGTGTCTCGCTTTATAAAGCTTCCTTTTGCCCAGCAGCTTGCTGGACCTCCGGAGTCTACTGAAGTGGATAGTGAACAACTTCCTGCCAAAAGGATGCGACTAACACCTCTTGCTGATGCAAGCAACCCTATCATGGCACAGGTAAGGTTGTTCATATTGGCAATTAACAGTTGTTCCTAGATAATTCAACCAACTGTCATCTGCTGGTATATATCATATGAAGTATGAGTTTAATGTTCAATGCTTTTGATTTTTGATGAAATGCCAACCTGGGAAGTTTGGAATTATTTGAGCATTGATTGTAATTAAAGTTATATCACCATGGATGCATAAGATTGTGCTTCTATTCAATATTACTGCATAAGAAGACCACTCGGCTATAATTCTTACTGTGTGAACACGTGAACTCAATTAATTATAATTTCAATGAAGGGAGTGTATTATTTGCACGGCTAAAGATGGAACTACTGTGTCTGATTAATGTTGAATGCCATGCCTAGATAAGATCGGTATAGACTTGTTCTATCAACTGAAAAGAACTGAACTAAGGCTCATATTTCTTTTAAGCTGCCAATATTTGGCATGGGTTAATATATGATAATGCCTAATTGTTTGTTCTGAAAATTTGCACAGGCTGCTTTCATTTCTGCTTTAGCAGGAAATGAGGTTGCAGAAGTAGCAGCTCGTGCTGCTCTAAAATCTTTATCTGAATTCGGTATTGGAAAATTTAAAGGACATCTCAAATCTATTTCTGCTAGTGGAGACAAGCAGGGTAAGTTTTTTTTTTTTTTTTTTTTTTTTTTTTTTTTCCCCGATATTAATGAATCATTTTTGCACTTGTGATCCTCTAGAAAAACTGCAAACAATAGGATGCTTGAGTGGAATGTAACGTTTTGATAATCAGAAGTCTTTATGGAATTATTAAAGTTTAGTAGATATTCCCTGGGGCCTGGCCTTTTGTTGTGGCTAATAACTATCCAAGGGGCAAGGGCTGGCTGCTAAACCAAGCTAGGAATTGGTGTTGAAATTTTGAATAGGAGAAAAACTGGAAATTGAATTGCATATATTTTGTTAGAAATACAATTTTAGGCTGAGGGAGTTTTCTCCTCTTTTAGATTTGTAATTGCCGTTTCTAACTGTGAATGCAGAATCTCATGCAGTTGAAGGGGCTTTTGCTGAAGCACAATCACAACTTGATAGTGAAGAAGAGAAGGTAGAGAGTGCAATCTCTGAAGTTGCTGTTCAGGTACAATATTCTTCTTACACTGTCTAATAAGAGAGAATCAATATAATGTATGTATTGTTTCACATAACATCATGTACGTACATAAAATAATGGTGCAGATACAAGAGATTGAAGAAAAGATTAGTGAGTTTGATGAGATCGAATCACAAACAGAAAAGGAGTGGCAACAACTGCAGCAACTGCAGAATCTGGTGTTTGCAGATCAGCTTAACCTGATACTGAGTAAAGCTGCTACAGAAAAAGGCGGAGCAAATTTGGGAAGCAATATCAAGACGGAATAATGAATCATGTTTTCCTGCATTTAGCATTAGTTAGCTTTTAGGTGCTTGCCAAGCAGTGCCTATAATTAGCATTAGCATTCAACTAGTTTGTTTATATGAGATTTATTATACTACATCATTCCTACAATTTCTATCTGCTAAACCCCTTCTTATATTATTATATTTTACTCCATTATAGAACAATGCTAGATGACCCTACAAAAATCATTTATCTTTTGCCACTACATGATGTCACCAAAATTTCCCTTACTGAAACTGAAACCAACAGAAATTTGAAAATTGTGCTGTGCTGCAAAATCCAAAGTATCATTCTACAGTACAATTTAAAGGCATTTCTTCTTGAGAAAGAATTGGAAAGAAAATGAGCCTAAATACAAAATAATACTATACTCAGCATACAGGCAGCAGATGAGAGATGTGTGCCATTTAAACATCCAACCTGCAAAATTGACATTTAAACAGTAGATTTATTGACAAAAGGAAAATACTTCCATCCATTTTGGTTTCGTTATTTATTGACAACAACTACTTACTAATTTTGTTAGTGTCTACTTGCTGATAACAATCTATTCCTATTCATTCGTTCATTATACAGCACAACAAACAATAGTTAATAAATTCCCGACCATACATACCATTCATTCATTCTAGCTAGAACAAGTGTGTCCGCAGTAGCTAGCTTTGACCCATTATTGACAAGCACGCACCAAAATGTCAAACCAGAAGGAAGACACGCCCACCATTGCCAATTACATGAACCTGAAAGACGCAACAGCCTGCACACCACACCACACCAGAATCCAACAAAGATAACCATCAAAAAACACCCCGCCCTTTCACTACTCTACTAGTATTATTATGAGTTAATGCCACATGGGGTCCTCCGAGTATAGTGGTTTTGCCACGTTTAGTCCTAAACTTTCAAATTGACCATTTGTGGTCCTTCGACTTTCCAATTTAACCATTCGTGGTCCAAGTTAACCACCCATGGTCCTTCAACTTTCAAAATTTAATCACTCGTGGTCCTCTTGAAAGGACTATAGTTGGTTAAATTTTGAAAGTTGGAGAACCATGAGTGGTTAACTTGGACCACGAATGGTTAAATTTGAAAGTCGAAGGACCACAAATGGTCAATTTGAAAGTTTAGGACTAAACGTGGCAAAACCACTATACTCGGAGGACCTCAGATGGTAATAACTCTATTATTATATATATATATAAATCATAACTGTCACTGGATCTACCTATAATCTAGTCTGTTTTATCATAAACATTTCATGATTCCAAGAAGATCCAAGAAACAAAACAAATTTACCTTCTCAACTTCGGCACCATATTTCTCTGCCTCCTCCTCTACAAACTGCATGATACAGAAAGTTGTGTAAGTTATTCATTTGCAGTATACCTAAACCCTCCTCTACAACATTAAAAGAAGAGAACAATGTATATATGTTGTAATGGATTGGATGGTCTGGTCTGGTCTCTTGAGAAAGTTATTCATTTGCAGCAGCTTTAAACTCTCACCTGTCCAGTAATAGTATACAACCGGTTGTAATAACCGTTGTTTGCTATTCCCAGCACTGTGAATAGGCGCCTGAGACTTTGTCCAGGATTTTGGAGTGTGTAATCAATGTAGTACAACCCTGATGAGAGGCTATACGTATTAAACAACATTCTTAATCTCAACGATATATCATAAAGCTTGCTTATATAATTCCCCACTCAGACCACAATACTATTAGCAAATCAACAATGCAGAAACCAGCAATTTAATTGCCCCAAGCATCTATATCTCGTATTTTCTTTCTCATTTTAGGAAATTATATATACAGTCTGGTGAAATTATGAGCTTTATAGTATCTTTAAAATCTTATTAGTGACTTTGAACTTTATTCCTCAAAAATTGGAAATAATTTCAGATAAGTCTATAATGATTAATTATTATTATAGTAGAATCTACCTATACTTATATGGAATCAACAAAAACAACGTATATTACCATTAGCAGATTTGCTATTTATGAGTTTTGCTGCTACTCCTGGAGGCCGTTTCCAGCTTCGGTCCAATCCACTAACCTGTTTTTATGATCACTGAGCTATTATAAAAAATAAAAATAAAAAAACCATGGATAACATTTGGTAGGGTAGATTGGAAGGAGAAGGATTTAGGACTTGAGATTAGCCAATGCAGAAGAAGAAGAAGAAGAAGAAGAAGAAAAATTTCACCAGATTCTCTGCAAATTCATCAACTTTTCCAAAAGATTCCAATCTGGTGAAGTCAGCACCAAGGCTTGTGATCACTATACTGACTGATGCAACCAACATGTAAGAAAAGTCGCAAAATTAGAGATAGAACAACAACTTCATCCATCATTATTCATTAATATCTATCTTAAATACCATTTGAGTTTGAAGCTTCTTGAGGATAGAAGGCAATCAGTGACCTCACTCCATCACCTTCTCCAGTTCCCACCTCCCAATCTGCAAGACACAATGCCTTTTCTATGATCTTTACAGTGAAGTGTATATATTAATATTACGTATAGGAAGTTTTTAAAACACAACCTAGCTAAAAGGAAGCAATGAATAGTTCCATTGAATTTGAATTTTCAAAATGCAAGTCAGTGATTCCAAAAGCTGAAGGAAATCGATGGTTAAAGTCAAAGAAACTCAATTATCAAGTCCTCTTAACTTCCTTCTTTCCCTAATAGAGATACTCCTTTAATTTCTACTATTTTAACAATAATCCCCAAACATTAATTATGAAGAAAGGAGGTGAAAAGAAAGGGCATACCGGCTGGAATGGATATCTTAAACTTGTTCACATCATCAGAATAAACACGAGGAGACTCCTTCACTGCAACTGGAGAAAATACCACTCGTAGTAGGTCATCATATTTCATCAATATAATATAATATAGTTTCGTTTTGAGAAAAATAGGTATACAGTAAGAGTACCATTATCTGCAAATGCAACTGAAGGAAATGCGGAAAGGGAAAATGCAACAAGGCCAGCTTGAAGCAAAAGCTCTCTCCTTTTGCTCAAAGATTGCTTTCTATCCATAATCACAACCGAACAAGAATGAATTGACAACAAACAAACAAACAAACGAGTACTGTGGATGCATCAAGTAGGAAGATAACAATTAACGGATATTAAAATACCTGGTATTTCCTTCAGACCCGGGGTTGTTGCAGCAGGAAATATAGGAATTTACAGTGTTCTTGAGGCCTGACAAAGTGAATGCGAGAGAGTTACATTACATACATACATACATACGGTCGGCGGGAAGAAATAGAAATAGGAAAGATAAAGAAAAGGTTGAGACTTTTGGTGTGGAGACGGGTGGCAGAGCGAGAGACGGCAGTGGCAAGGAAGGATCCACACTGTGAATGCAGCAGAGACGATGAAAGAGAAGAAGTAGCCATTTCCCTTTTTCTTTTCTTTTCTCTTCTCTAAGCTAAAATTTGTTAACCACTGCTCCATTTTATTCAATGAATTCCACCTCATTTTCAAAGAACAAAATACAAGTGGATCAGATTTAGGAAAGTCCACATTTTTTTTACGCAACATTTCTTTATATTCTGTATTATATTTTACGAGAGTTTCTATCATAGTGTTTTTTTTTTTTTTTTAATACTATCAATCCTGTTACATATAGTATCTTTTCAAATATACATTCTCAACCTACCAAAGCCAAACGAGTCAATACTACCTCCATTTAAGCTTGAAGCCCAAGGCTCGAGGCCAGAGACCATCGGCCATGGAGGAGACAAAGAGACCTTGGTCTCCATGACCAAGAAGAAAAAAGCTCCACGAAGCCATCCGACGGCCGGTTTGTTTTAGTATTTTTTTTAATTAATTATTTTATTTAAAATTATTTTAAAATATTATTTTTAAGATTGGAAGCCGCCACATCAATATATTTTCAGGTAAACAAGTTATTTTAGGTGATTTTGTGTTGTTTAGGGACTCAATTACATTATTTTTTTAGTTCGATGACCTAGTTGTATTTTGATGTGTAGTTGAGTGACCTATTTGACCCTTATTCCTTGTATCATAATTAGTAGGCTGGGGGGCTTGGAGCTCAACTTATTACTAAAAAAAAGACCTTAATTTTGTAATCCTGACGAATGTTAGAATTTCCCTTTCAAGTGTTACAAAGAATATACCTCTATAATAATAGTGGTCTCACGTCTCAGGCAGAAGAGACTGATAAAATCCCTTTTTTAAGTGTTACAGCAAAAGAGCATTTCACATGCTTCATTGAATGAAGCTAAAGCCCAAAGCCTAAAGGAACTCACTCTTTGGCTCTCTTCATCAAGAAACGCAAAGAAAATATCCCCAAAACAAGGGTCTGCCAGAACCAACCGCGGGCATTTGCAGCATCCACTTTCTTTGCAAGAAGCCATGCATATATAGCCTCGCCAACGTGTGCTGCAACCGATACAACAAACAACAACCTTAATCCCCACATGGAGCGAAAGAAGAGAAGGCCAATCGCTCTAACAAGGGGAATGGGTCCAAAGTCCGGCAGGAAAGCAGCACCAAACAGAGCAAGCATTCCAACAACAACAAGCACCCATGTAAGTATCTTAGGCCCATCTAGGCCTCTTCGTTTCTGCTCTTGCCAATATGAGATAGTTGCAGCCATTCCCTCTTTAGGGCTCACCATTGGGACATAGCCAAGCTCCTCTTTAGCTTTTAAATACGAAAAGTAATGAGTCACACCTACCTGGCACAACCAGAAAAACTCATTAAACTCACCAAGTCGCAACATACTCCATACTAATTATAGAATTCTATGCAATCCATACTGTTCTCTGCCGTCCAAACATTCACATTATCAATTGTAAGATCATTTTTAAGTTGGAAATTTGTGTTGAGCACAAATACAGTTGTCAAATGTGGATCACACTATAATGAGTACAAATATAGATTAGATTATTTTTCATACACATGATCTTATACAACCACATTATTACTTTCAAAGTCAAATATCTGCAGGGTTGATTCTCAGATAGCTTTAAGCATGTCAGACACACAGTAGATACCCAGCAAGAAGATTAAAGAAAAAAAAAAAAGAAAAAAAAGCGGGGAGGTGGGGGGGAGGAGGTGGTGGATCAAACACAAACCTTGTAAACTTCAGCAGGAAGTATGAAGGGTTGAGGAAGCCACCTCCGACTTAGCCAAGGATACATGATAGAGTATAAAGCCCAAAAGAAGTTTCCTAGTAGCAGAGCTTGAGGGACAGCTAGTGATATGGTTGGTAGTTCATAATCCAGGCTTTTGAGTAAAGGGCGAAGAAACTCAAAACTGTTGATGGGAGACCCTGCAAATAATAAATAAAGAAAAGAGTAAGATAACGCAAGTAAGAATTGCTTGAATTTAGTGTGTGTTGACGAGCATTTTGTAGATTGGATGTTTCAAACAAGTCTCTTTAGTAAAAGCAATAAAAAATGGAAACAATCGACCTGATATTTAAGAGTGTATACAAAGTATATATAATATGCCAAGGATCAGTTACCATCTGATATGAAGTAAGCTTGACCGGCAGCAACTGGTGGCCCTTCTTGGCCAGGGATGTCATCCAGAAGTCCAATACTAGCCAATAGAAGGGCCAATACAAGATTATCCACATAAACCCAATCGGTTTTCACATTTGTTGAACCTATCTTAAAAGGGATCAGGCCTAATTTTGCAAACTTGATGATCCTTGGGAAGTGCCTTTCTTCACCAGGTCCATAGATAGCAGCGGGACGAATGGCACAGGTATACAGGGATTTCCTAGTCTCTTTACTGTAATAATGAAGAATAAAAATTAATTCTGAGCAAAGCATTGCCAAGATTCAAAAATTCTTTTTAGACTTTTTTACGTAAAGAACAGTTCACAGGGGAGTGTTAAGTTCTAGGCAAAAAATATTATAGGCCAAAAAACTAAACTTTCTTGATGATAGAAACAGAAAATATTACCAAAAAATGAGTGAGAGTACAGAGCAAGACTCATCTACAAAAAGAAACATATAGCTAGAGAGCAGAAAAATATGAAACTTCACACTGAATAATATGTAAATTTAAAGATTGCCATATTTCATTAAGTCACATAGTTCATGAAGGGTTTAGTTTTTGTCTCTAATCTAGTTACTTAATTTGGAAATATGGACCAAGACAGTCTTTAATTTACAGAGGTGGAAATTTTTCCTCTACAGGATATTATGCTTCTGCATTTAACTATATACACAAGAAAAATAGTATGCATTTGTATCAAATCATTTTAAAGAGGCGTTCATCTACAGGCATACTGAGAGCTTAGTGCAGTCAATTTTGAGTTACAAAATCTTGGACGTCAGAGAAGGAAATAGAGAACAGTTTAGCAAAATAAGTAGACATGAATATTATTTTGCCAAATTTCTACATTCAAGAATGCAGTATATGACATTTATTGGAAAAACAAATAACTCGGTGTTGGTGTTCTAGTGTCAAATTACTTACTCGAAGCAACGGCCATTGTTCTTCAGAACTAATTGTTCAGCAATTGCTTTACTGCGGCCATATGGATCAACATGATCATCCAAGGGAAAATAAGGTAGTCTTTCGTTGCCATTAACAATCTCCTTTCCACCAAAAATGACATTATATGTACTCACATAGACAAGCCTGTTGATATGATGTTCAACACAAGCATCGAGAATTTGACAAGTTCCATTGATATTAACCTCATCTACACGACCATACTGGAGCATTTCTTTTCCAGACATACCATATGAAGCAAGATGGAAAACGCAATCAGCCCCACGTAATGCCCTCTCAACACTTTGTTTGCTTGTAACATCTCCTAAAAATGTAAATGAAACTTGGAGAAATGAGATACATCAATCAATGGGCGTCAGCTGGATCATTTTCTGCCCCTATTCTTAGTCATATCAATAAAATTATTTATTTATTTAAGCTAAATAGCTCTTACTAAGTCAACTCCATAATCTGTTACCAAGTAAAAGCAGTTTTTGCAGGAAAAACTGGAAAGAGTAGCAGAAGAAAGAAATGGCCATCTCAGGAAAAGAAAATCTGATTCAGTTTTGAGTATCTATACTGCAGTTTACATGCTTTCACTAAATTAATGTGAATAGCAACAAAGAGGGGAGGGGTGAAATGTGAGGAGGAGAAGCATGATCACCTTGGATGCAATGAACCCCTTTTTGGCGAAGCTGATCTGACCAGGGGGATTGGGTTCGAAGATCAAAGGCCTTGACAAGACGAGCACCTCTTCTAACCAGCTCCAGGCAGAGGGCGGCGCCGACGAAGCCCAGCCCACCCGTCACCACGAAGCTTTTGTTCTCTATCCCCTCGTTCTCGCTAATATGCATTCTCTCTCTCTCTCTATCTATCTCTTGCTGAGTCGCTGTGTTTCTGCAAATCGCTTTACAGAAGACGGACGGTCTTGCAGAGGCAAGCTTTTCAATTCGATGGAAGACGGAAGACCAACTCTCACTTGCTTGACTCTTCACTTACTTTTTTTTTTTTTTTTTTTTTTTTTTAATTCTTAACTATTAAATACAGAGTAATTTTTAAATTATTATTGGTTATGATCAATTCAGTCAAATAAATTGCGACATCTCCGGTGCATAATTGCATAGCACATAAATAATAAAATTTGGAAAAACTACTGCGCTTATTTATTTATTTATTTTATTTTGTTTATAAATAAAGCATTTTTTTGGGGTGTTTACTAGGAAGAAGATAAATCAATCTTAGCAAGATATTCCATAATATTGTTAAATCGATTTGGTTTAGGATATGTTTGAAAAGTATGGAAAATGAGTTATTTTTTAGAAAATATTTTCTTTTTCAATGTTTAATTTGCATTACAGAAAACAGTCTTGATGTGTTTAGTTCATTTTCTGAAAAATGAACATAATTATTTTTAATTTTAAGTATTTAAAATATACAATAATTGTGGTGGGTAGTGGGGGTGGGGGGTGGTGGCAACGGGTGATTGGCTACTTCACTATAAATGAAAAATGACTTCTTTTTTAAGTCATTTTTCAAAAAATCCCATCTATTTTTCATTAACCACACCTCTATTTTTCATTGACTTCTATTTTCTCCCTCTAGCCAAACACTGAAAACCGGAGTTTCCAAACGCACCCTTAATTTAAAACAAAATTATAAATTATTCATAAGTTGACAGAACAACAAATAAAAATTAATCAATTGATCAAGCTCAAACCAACTTATTAGAGTTCCAAATATTTAGTTTAACAGTGCTTACACTTATAATTGAACTCAACATTTGAACACAACAGAAATCACATTAACAAATGAGCATGAACACAATGCATCCAAAAGCAAATGTATCAAGCTGGAATCACAAAACCCACATTCAGTCATATGTCTACAACTTATAAGCAAGGAACAGTATATTATTCCAAATAAGAAACAATGTCTTCATCATTTCTTTCTAGGAAAAGAGTTCCACAGTTGATGAGATCATTTTAATCCCACATCCTTCATTCCTTCTTTCCGATACCATTAGACATGTTGTAGATCCCTCGTCCCTGAAACACCATTTTGCAGAGTTATCTATTAAAAAATGATTCTTCTAAGCATGAGTTTGATGAAATACAACAACTAGGTTGGAACTCACAATCATGTAAAGTGAAGAAACTGCCAATGCGAGTGGAATGGCGACTGAGGTAACCTTATCAAAAGGACCCTTCAGATAAGTGTGTTTGTGAATGCTCTGGTAATACCTTTGCTTCTCAATAAGCTTCTCTCTGGGCCTGAAGGGGGTTTCTGACTCTGACATCCTACAAAAATTACATTTAATGCATTCTGCACTTTGAGCCTCACCTTACTTACCAGCTAGCAAAATTTGACCACAAATATGTACTATGTGCACATCCACGAATGTACAAAAAACTACAGGTAAATTTAATGTGAGCAAATAGCAAAAAAAAAAAAAAAAAAAAAAATTCCATTAAAAATTTTATGGACTGCTGATATATTAATAGTGAGGGAAAGGCAATATCTGCAAGTATTTTTCTTCCATGTAGAGAAGCTAATATTCAAGTACAAACCAGTTATATAAGGGACATAACACCCAACAGGCCGACAGGGTGTAAACCAATTACAGTTCAATGGCTCTACATTTCCAGAAAGAAATTCCAGGATTCTTAAGAATAAACCAAAGTTTCCAACAGATATTTGTTAAAATACAAATTTTCTCTACCTAACATGTCGCACTTAATTGCTGATGCCCTTATTATCAAATATATACAGTAAAAGTACGATGAAGATTAAACGTAAGTCTATTATTAGACATCCTTCAAATTAAAAGTAAATACTTCCCCAAAGAGTACTGATCTGAGAATCAGGTGCAATGATGGGAAGACCAAACAAGTGAGTACAGTTTTTAACTATATTAGCACATAGCTCATTGCTTAATCCAAAATCAAAGGAGAAGGAGAATTCTACCTTTCAGACTTGAAACAAAGGAAAATAAAAAATAAAAAAAAAATCTGGCTGCTTTTCTATAATGTACAAGCATGGAAGTGAAATATGTAGACAAATGCATCAAATTATAATTCATAAACTTTATCTGACCCCATACCATTGAGACACTGTCCTCTATACTTTCAGATTCTTGGAGGACTTGTAAACAATACAAAGTGCACTACAATTATATAGTTAATCTGTAAACTAAACTCATTAAAGACTTGTAGTTTCAATTAATGATACAGAGTTGAAACAAGCTGAAAAGTCTCAAGTGTCTAACACTGAACCAATTGAGCCTCCTACACAGCATAAGCTGATTACTTCACAAATACGTGAAAACAGGGAATCAATTCAGAGCAAAACATACAGAAAACTCTAATAGGAGAGATAATCAACTAAAAATCTAAAATTCACAAAAAGCTAATTGTAAACCCTATTAAGGCAATTCGATCAAACCACATACAACAAGATTCAATCACGCATGTAACATGTTGATTGAAAAACGATGGATATAATAAACCTGATGCTTACATTTACACAGAGGAGAGGAGAAGAGAGACGGTGGGGTAGTAACAGAGTAGACTCGATCAACGGGAAGAGATCGGAATCGGATCAGTCAGGGCCTCAAATGCAAATTGACGACTGCTATCCCCGAACAAATATTCTATGGACTTCAAGCCTGTTTTGGCCTTTTGGGCTTTAGCTTTACAATCACATCATGATTTGTTAGGTTGGCCCAAATCGCTATTGCATTTTTTTAATGGGTTACTCTATATCTCTGCCCATGTCCATGGGCAAATTATTGTATGGACCATGGTCCACACAATGTTATGTGGACCATAATAAAATGTATATTTTTAATATACTAAATGTACATTATTTTTGTACTGAATGTACATTATACAATATAATGTACACTCAGAACAAAAATAATGTACATTCTTTGAATATAATGTACATTATTTTTGTACTGAATGTACATTATTTTTGTACTAAATGTACATTATTTTACTGTAGACAATATGGTCCACACAACTTGTGTGGACCATGGTCCATACAATAATGATTGATGTCCATGTGGGGGCAAATTATGTTGTGCATCCGTATGCACCATGCATGGTGCATACGGATGCAAAAACGACGTCGTTTTAATAAAACGCGCGTCTCCCCTTAAAAAAAAAATCAGGTTCGATTTTCAGCAACAAAATATGAACTAAAATATCATAATCGATGAACTATATTTTCATAATCGATGAACTATAATTCCATAATTGATGAACTATAATTCCATAATCTAATCTATGAACTAAAAATTCCAGAATGAATGAACTAAAATTCCATAATCTATAAACTAAAATTTCAGAATCGATGAACTATAATTCCATAATCAATGAACTATAATTCCATAATCTATGAACTAAAATTCCATAATGAATGAACAATATAATGTTGTTGCTGGGAATCGAACCTGAAAATTTTTTAAAGGGGAGACGCGCGTTTTTTAATAAAACGATGTCGTTTTGGCATCCGTATGCACCATGCATGGTGCATACGGATGCACAGCATAACGATTGCCATGTGAGAGGGTGTAAATCGGATTGTTATATGGTGGATCCAGGTCCACCTCGTAGGTTCAAAACGACGTTCTTTTACTTCAAAATGACGTTGTCTGAATTTAAAAAAAAAAAAAAATTGTTTTTTTATTTCCGTTAATTTGTCATTTGTCTTCAGAATTCGTTCCTCTATATTCATAAATTTTGAATTTTATATTTATAATTTTAAAACTCTATATTCACAATTTTAGAATTCTATTACAATTTTAGATCTCAATATTCACAATTGCAAAACTCTATATTCACAATTTTTTAACTTTATATTCACAATTTTAGATCTCAATATACAAAATTACAAAACTCAATATTCATAATTTCATAACTTTATATTCACAATTTTTGAACTAACTCTATATTCACAATTTTATAACTATATTTTCACACCCGCAAACTGCGTCGTTTTGGACTTATATCCACCTTGCAAAGTGGACCCGAATTCACGGCATAATTTGTCGTGTAAATCCTCAAATTATTGTGTGGACCATGAATATAAAATACATTTTTAATAATTAAAAATACAATATTTTTATACTGAATGTACATTATTTAATAGTATATAGAATAATGTATTTTTAGTACTCAAATAATGTATTTTATGTACACAAATAACTACTTTTAGTATATTAAAAATGTACTTTTATTTATGGTCCACAGAGTTGTATGAATCATGGTCCATGTAATAATGTTTGATATAAATCACTGTAATTCAGTGGCTCAGTAGACAGAGCCAAATACTGGCGCGCACAAGGTTCACTTTGGGCATAATTCTTTCACTGTCGTTGTTAAATTTTGAATCTTGATATTTTCTCTCAAATACTTATGTGAGCTTAATCGTACATGTTTCTCTTGGTAGTTTGAATCTATTTGTTGGGTTTAAGTTCATTAAACTATTACTTTAAATCCATATTCCCTTGTTTCCTCATTAAGATATGGTTGTACACTTGTTTTGAAATGTTTTACGGTGTTTGTTAGTGTTTTGGAACCATTGGTTTAAAGTTTTGAATTCGCTTCTGTATTTTTTTGACTTTTCTGTATTTAGAATTTAGGGTGTTACATCACACTTATTTAAACTCAAATTTAATATTGCATTTTAGATGAGCACTTGTTTTGAATCTCAAGAATCTCTCTCTTTAATTGTTTTCATAAACCTGCTACTTTACTCTTTAAATTAGTTTTATAAATAATCAACCATCCATGATTTTCGTTATGATTAACTTCACACGAATAAATTAGTAACTAGTGTTTGAAAAACTAATAATCAACCATCCATGATTTTCGTTATGATTAACTTCACACGAATAAATTAGTAACTAGTGTTTGAATGTCTTGATACGTCCCGCTTCCCTGATGATCGATAACTCGATACTTCGAGTAATTATTTATTTGTCAAAATATACTGCAACCAAATATTATCTATTGAACTAATGAATTCAGCCCTTCTGTCCATGTCTAATTGAACTCTAATAACAACATTCAACTGACAACTATATTATTATGTGCAGTTTGGCGTTGACATAACAGTCAGTTGTTAATTAATAATAATATTACAATTTTCACACACACAAAAATTTATTATTAAATGAAAAAATATGCTACGATTTTAAACAATAGCATGAAAAACACCAATGAGTTGATTTATTTTGGTGGTTTAGGGTGCAGTTGCAGCTAACTAGTAATTGGGGGCTCAAATCATATTGGTGTTCTTTGGTAAAATAATTAGTTTATTAACTAATTTTGACTTATTTGACCACTATTAGCTGTTTGATTTGGTTAAACAATTAATATAAATATTTGATTAATTAATTTTTCTTTTTTTTTTTTGTAACAAATCTTTGCTTTAAAATGCTACACTTCAAAAAGTTACTCAAAGTAACTTTTCCAATTAGTTTTTCGTATGTAATCAGTTAACAATTAACAATCAATTTACCAAACACTTTTCTACAAACATCTTATACCGACATTCATCGACATAAGCAGACAACCTGATGAAATAGGTGGTAACCTACTATTAGGTGAAATTACATACATTTGGAATAGTTTAATTACACTTTTTTTTGTTCAATATCTAATTGTATTTTCAAGTTACGTTCGGTGATCAATTTAGACTTTATTCTAAGTTTTAATTTTTGTTTTTTCTTAATGATTGGTGACCCGCCCTCGGCCTTTTGGATAGATCAGATAGTACCTCCATCACACGAAACCTGATATACCGATATAGTATGAGAGGAGTCACGGGTCCGTGCGCACAAAATATCTCTATCGTCTCTCAATTGAGTAACATAATAAATATCCCACGTTTTCGATTTTAATAATTGATGTACAAATTAGAGATGAAAGTTATTATACATTATGCCAAAAGCTATACTTACTGAACTTGTCCTTCCAATCATTTACGCTCCTCTGCCCAACATAAACACCTGCTAGACTTGTCGTTTATTGCCTCTGCCCAATAGAATTGTTCAAAGCTAGCTACAGCCTACAGGCATATATAAGAAATTAAAGGAGCTCTTTTGCATCAATCATATCATATCATCATCAGTGCAGTAGAGAATAGAGATGGATACGGAGAGACGAATAGCGATCATCGGTGCGGGAGTAGCCGGGCTGGCGGCCTGCAGACACGCATTAGCAAGGGGTCTGAATCCAGTGGTTTTTGAAGGTGAAGGAAGGATAGGGGGATTATGGGCTCAAACAATCGAGTCTACCAAGCTTCAGACACCCAGATGGTATTATGAATTCCCGGATTTCCCTTGGCCATCCTCTGTCCAAGAAACCTATCCTCACAACACAAAGGTACTCAACTACATTGAATCCTATGCTCAACATTTTGGGTTGTTGCCGTACATTAAGTTGAGGTCCAAAGTCATTTCCTTGGACTATGTCGGAGTTTCTGAGGAAGAGATGCAGTCTTGGGAGCTGTGGGGCGGCACCGGTCTAGCATTCGGTTCAAAAGGGAAATGGAACCTTTTAGTAGAACACACAGTAGCTGATCCTCATCATCCTTCATCCACTGATTCCACTCACACAAACATAAAGGTATATATATTTTATATGCATGGTTATCTCGCTAATTGATTAAGGATTAAGGATTAAGGTTTATGTTTTTTTTTTTCTTCTGCAGGAGTATGTGGCGGAGTTTGTTGTTATTTGTACGGGGAAATTCAGCGGTCTGGGCAACATCCCAGAGTTCCCTCCGGGGAAAGGGCCGGAGGTTTTTGAAGGGAAAGTGATTCATTCCGTGGAGTATGGTGCAATGGACAATGAAAGTGCTGCACAATTGATCAAAGGGAAAAAGGTTGCAGTGGTGGGCTCCCAGAAATCTGCAGTGGACATAGCAGCTGAATGTGCCAATGCAAATGGTATGACTTAATAAAGAAGAGTAAAAGACATTTTTGATCCTAGACTTATAGTGGCTTGGACAATTTTAGTCCTTTATAAAAAAATTTGCCATTTTATGGACAGAGTTATTGTGGCGTGGACATTTTTGGTCTTCCGTCTATATTTCTGTTAGATAACCGTATGAGAGAGGGGCATTTACGTCAATTTAGGCTATCTCCTTCTATCTATTATATGATTCTCCTTCTATATATTCAATTAGTAACCTGTTTGGCGGCTTCGATTCTCCGGCAATTTCTTTGTACAACTGCAACTTGGACTCTCCGACTCCTTCGAATTATGACCGAGAAGAAAAAAAACACACATAGATATAATAGATAGAAGGAGATAGTCTAAATTGACGTAATTACCCCTCTCACAGACGGTTATCTAACAGAAATATAGACGGAGGACCAAAAATGTCCTCGCGTCAATAACTCTGTCCATAAAATGGCAAATTTTTTTATAAAGGACTAAAATTGTCCAAGCCACTATAAATTTAGGACCAAAAATGTCTTTTACTCAATACAGAATTTAATAATCCACTATACTGTTTTTTTTTGGATTTAGTCTTAAATGGTTTCTTGTGCTTCATTGATTATTTTACTCAATTGAGTCACATGAAAATAATTTGGTAATTTCACCTCTATTGATATTCAATTTAGTTCTCGATTATAGTAATTTGACTCAAGTTAGTCTTAGATTATAGTGGTTTTACTCAATTTAGTTCGTCATCAACTATAGTGATTTTTCTCGATTTAGTCGTTGATTCTAATAGTCAATGACTCAATTGGGTAAAACATCAAAGTCGATGACCTAATTATGCACAAAAAAGTCGTTTAGGACTAAATTGAGAAAAACGAGTTAATACCCAATTTAGCCTCAACTATAGTAATTTTTCTCAATTTAGTCGTACATACATGACTTTTGTGTTTAATTAGGTCCTCAACTTTGATGTTTTTACCCAATTGAGTCACCTGTTAAGATAGTTTAGTAATTTTGTCTCTATTAATATTTAATTTAGTCATCGATTATAGTAGTTTTACCCAAATTAATCTTCGACTATAGTGATTTTACCTAATTTAGTCATCGACTATAATAATTTTTCTTGATTTAGTCATTTGTTCTAACAATCGAGAACCTAATTAAGCACAACAAGTAATTAAGGGCTAAAACAAGAAAAACCACTATAGTCGAATACTAAATTAAGTATAAATTTTGAAAAAAAATCACTATAGTTGATGACTATAATTAATACCGTACCTGGATCATACCATAATGCTTTTTAAATAATATATATGCATGTAATGATGCAGGGTTATAATATATATAATTTAGTTTTTGGTTAATTAATTAGGTCCAAAAAAGGCATGCACCTTGATTCAGAGGACAGTTAACTGGATACTTCCTGGTGCCTACATCATGGGAGTTAGTCTCTTTGCCTTGTTTGGAAATCGGTTTACAGAGCTGTTAGTCCACAAGCCTGGAGAAAGCTTCATACAAAGCATCTTGGCCACCCTGCTTACACCACTGGTAAATTAACATATCTCATCTTATCATCTATACATACATATATAGTCATATATTAATGCATGTTTTTGGTGATGAGCAGCTATGGGGGCTTAACAAATTTGTGGAGATGTATCTTAGATGGACATATCCCTTAAACAAGTACAAAATGATACCAAAACACAGCTTGCTGGAGCAAGCATATGCTTGTAAGCTCTTCTGGCTTCCTGATAATTTTTATGAAAAAGTAGAAGAAGGGAGCCTCATTCTTAAGCAATCCAACAACCTCAGTTTCTGCAAACAAGGCCTACTTCTTGATTCAGATCAATCTGAGCCTATAAAGGCTGACCTTGTCATTCTTGCCACCGGATATAAAAGCCAAGAAAAGCTCAGAAATCTTTTCACCTCTAAAACCTTTCAGAACTACATCATCAGCCCCACTTCCTCACTACTTGCTCTATACAGGTACTATATGTTAAGACTTATGTCTATTATTTGTTATTGTGGTTTAGGTGTAACTAGTTTAATTTCCTGCTTTCATGTTCTGTAATCTATTTATTATTTGCTTTTACGGTACTATTGTTCATACTCTCACATTATATACGTACTATTAGTTGAGACAGAACATACACATCTTATAATTATGGATTCGTCGATCATATGATATTGTAGGCAAATGATTCCTCCGCGGATTCCTGGGATAGCAATAATAGGGCATTCAGAGAGTTTTGCAAACCTTTATACCTTTGATGTGAGATGCCAATGGCTGGCACATTTTCTTGATGAGAAATTGAAGATGCCAAGCATAAAGGAGATGGAGAAGGATGTTGAGGAGTGGGAAAAATACATGAGAAAATACTCAGGGGAGGTTTACAGAGGGCCATGCATTGGGGGTCTGCATATATGGTATAATGATCAGCTGTGCAGAGATGTTGGGTGCAACCCAAGAAGAAACAAGGGGTGGCTATTGGACTTGGTACACCCCTATGCTCCACCAGACTATGTTGCATTTGCTACTACTCCAAAATAATTTTAGTTTAATTTAATTTAATTTAATTTGTTGGATCTGTAATAAGGGGGATTAATTGCCATGTCATGCCTACAAGCATGCATGTTGTTGTTGACCCTTAAGAATAATTTATTTACTTGTCATTCTAGTATTCGTGGTTGCAGTAGGTCCTAGTCAGACGGTAGAGTAGGATTTAGACAACTTAGGCGACTAACTAAAAAAAACAATCCATGTGGGTGAGTGTATGTCACACACACACACACAACTATATATATATATATATATATATATATATATATATATATATATATATATATATATATATTGGTTCAAATGAGAACCGTGCTTCCCGTGCGGTTGGTGCAGTTTTACAGTTTACACCATTAGGTATGCATAAATACATCACGCAGTGTTAAAAAATCTACCAGAATGAAATGCCGCAAAATGCATAAAACACAATAAAAATGCACCACATATAAATCATAATGGTGTATTTTCGAACATTATGTGGTGCATTTATGCATACATAATAGTGTAAACCACATCGACCACACGGGAAGCTATATATATTCTCACAGGAACCTGACTCTCTCTCTCTCTCTATATATATATATATATATATATATATATATATATATATTTGCAAGACTGAGTCAATTGATTTAACTTAGCTAATTCAGCCGAATTGGATAAATTAACTCATCCGAATTTGGTTGAGTTCGTCACCAATTCAATTGAATCAGTTGAGTTAGGTGCCTAGGTGACCACCTAAACCAAAATTTGCAACAGTGCACGTTTATGGGAAACTTTATATTCTATTTTAACGAGGGGTTGGCAGCATGCATGCATATGCACTGTCTAGTATTAGAGTAGACAAAAGGCACCCAACTAACTAACAAAACGTACTGCATTAAATAATAGAGTTTTCAACTTTTCACACATGTACCTTTTGTTATTATTTTTAAGAAAAATGGTAAAATAGGCTATTGATTGAACTCTATCAAAAGTGTAATTAAATAATTTCATCGAATGATTGCTAATGTTATTGAAGAAGAAAGTGATCGGATGGTTTCCTTATCCACTTTGGAGAAGATCATCGTCTAGTTACTTTATCTGACGAATTGAAGCCGATTTAGCAGTGGTTAGCGATGATAATTGAGAAAATTTTATTAATAACCTAAATCGAACTTATTTGATTAGTTTTGATAGGTTCGAGTGTTTAATTACACTTTTTAAAGTTTATGAGTTTAATTGGGGTTTATTTAATCATTTTTCTTTATTTTTTTAATGTCCGTTTTAAACTTGTGATGAGTTGGTCCAAAGCAATAAAAGCTAATATGAATATATCTATAAGTAAATATTATTCAAATGAATCAGTATTTGTGGTTATATTATACATTAAAATAATTTAGTTAAAATGTTAAATATTCATAAAGTACTACACATGACCTACCAACTTCGACGGTTTCAGTATGAAGATAGTGGGGACAACTACCCCTCCCCAATCTCACATCTTTTATATATATATAAAAATAAGTAAATAATATAAATATGATTTAATTAAAAATAAAGTAACTTAGATAGATGGTTAAGTATGTATGTATATTATAATAGAGGTCAATTTGTATTAATCTTTCGTCTCCACTAAATGAAATTTATGGCTCATGTGCCTACCATCCAATACAAATGTATAATCCTCGACCCTATCCTTTCACTCACAATTTACAAACCAACAGATCTTTCATTCCTAGCTTAGTACTCAATCTATCTATCACCAGAAGAAAGAGGATATCTCATGCACCAAGAAATTCACAATGTCTTAATCCTCTTTCTTTCGAAAGTGACATCTTTTTTCTTTATATAATCTCTCTGCACCAAAATTCTTAGGAAATCTCTAACACCAGAAAATTCACAAAAACCCAAACGGGAAAGAAATAATCTTTTATTTGATCATATAACAGAAACGAGAGAGAGATTGTTTGAAGACTCGCCACCTAAGATTGGTACTTTCTTCTTCTTCTTCATTTTCTCCGGTTTCTCTTTTGTGGCCTGCGAAATGGGTCGTCATAAGCTTGTTATCCTTAATTTTCTGAATAATGCATGGTTGCCTAGGGCATAGAAGCCTCCGCATTTGTTTGTTATGTAAAAGATAGCTAGGGCTATTAGACGTTCCGAACCTCATATTGTTTTGTTACTTTGTTTTTCAGCTGATTGATTATGATGATGGCTAAGTTCACAGGGAAACCCTTGTTGCTCTCTCTCTATTGATAAAAAAAAGTTTTGTTATTGTTAGTGTTATTGTTATATATAATAATAATAATAATAAATAGGTATAAGCGGAGGCAAGAGAATTTATTAGGTATGGCTTTTGATCATAATCCAATGCACAATGATTTGCGGCCATTGAACATTTGTAGGACGATTCCAGAAGACCCGCGCATTTCTTCAGCAAGGCCAATGGAGGGGTTCTTTACTGCAACTCAGCATCGGGATGGCAGTCCCGGGTCCATACCCATGCTTTATATTCCTGGGAATCCTGCAAATGATCCCAGATTTGTGGGGCTAGGATATAACCACGGCCATCCTGGTGTGGCCACGTGGGTCCAACAGGTTGTGCCGGCAGCACCCTCAGGGGTAGTCCCCGGCACTCCTGGATTCAATCCCAATCCCAATTCAAATTTTGGGGCACATTGTGGGAGTGATCATACCAGTGAGGAAGGTGGCGAAGATTCCGCACCCGGTAGGAAAGTGAAGTTTTTGTGTAGTTTTGGTGGCAAAATATTGCCAAGGCCGAGTGATGGGGCGTTGAGATATGTTGGAGGGCAAACTAGGATCCTCAGCATTAGGAGGGATGTGAGTTTTCCTGATTTGGTAAAGAAGGTGACAGATACTTATGGCCAAGATGTGGCAATCAAGTACCAGTTGCCTGATGAGGATCTTGATGCCCTTGTGTCTATTTCTTGTCCTGATGATCTTGATAATATGATGGATGAGTATCAAAAGTTGGCTGAAAGATCATCTGATGGTTCAGCTAAACTCAGGATGTTTCTGTTTCCAGCTTCGGAAATGGATTCCCCTTGTGTGATGCAATTTGGTGATCTACAGGATACTGGGCAGCGTTATGTCGATGCAGTAAATGGAATTACTGATGGCGGCATTGCGAGGTTTGGTAGTACTGCTAGTGCTGTTTCAACCCAGAACTCAGATTTGAGCAGCAGCTGTGAGGTTCTTGATTTCTCATGCCATGCTCATTCAGAGATCACAAGATCACCATCTACTGATGCAATATCACCTACTGCAGTATCAGCATCTGCTATTTCTCCTGACTCTTCTTCTAGAATGGTTTACACAGATACTACTCCTGCAATTTATGCCAACACAACTGCTGCTCCTGTTGGCATTCCGATGGTCATGTCTGGTCCTCCGGGGACTGGATTTGCTGCCCCCGAGCATGCATCCAAGAAATCTGTGCCTGTTACTCTACTACAGCAGCAGCAGCAGCAGCAGCAACAGCAGCAACAGCAGCAGCAACAACAACCAGGCGTGACTTTTCCTCAAAGGGAAGCATTAAGCCATGCAGATTATGTACACTCCACTTCTCAGATGAGCTTTCCTACACAGCTGATGGGCACTATTGGGCCAGTGTTTACGCAGCAGCATATAACTGCTGGTCCTACACCTCCGCAGTTTGTTCCTGCAGTTCACACAACAATGACTTCTCATGTCAGTATGAATCCTAATTTGGTTCCGAGGTTTCAACCCCAACAAACTAGATTAGAACAACATCCTTCAGATAGCCCAGTGGGGCAGCCGTTTGTCCAGTTTAGTCGGGATCAAGGGTGCAACACCTGTCAGCCTCAGCTCCCTGCTACAATGTTTAGTGGTGCATATGGCTGGCATCAGATTCCTCATCCCCAACAGGTAGCAGTTTCTGATGGTTGGGCGGCTCATCCAGTAACAACTGCACCAGAGGTAGCCACTAGATTTGATGATTGTCACATGTGTCAAAAATCATTGCCTCATGCCCATTCGGATGCAGCATCACAAAACAAAAGTGGTAGCCCTGTGAACAGCATATCTGATTCGAGTTCAGGACACAACCTTGAACTGCCTACGGCTGTCACATGTGGACCTATATTGGAGTGCACCAGTGAACAAGGAGCTGCTGTTCCACAAAGATTCATTGGCCATATGGATCGTGAAATTGGACAAACTCTTGCAGAGGGAACTGGGGTCTTAGAGAGTGTTGAGAATCCAGAGCATCCTAAAGTAGCAGTCCCTTTGGGTGTGATGGGATTACCTACTGGTGTTCCTAATCTGTGTGGGCCATTTATGGGTACTGTTGCTCAGTCAAGCTCGGTTAATGCTCCTGAGCAACCTTTTGTTCCAATGCAGTACCCGGTTAAACAGGAGGTGGTGGTTAACAAAGCAGTTCCTGATGACCTCCTTTCTGCTGGGATGCGTTTACCCACTACAGAAAACCTTATCCTTGAATCACCAAATTGCTACACTGGGCACATTCCTATGATGTGTCCTAAAGAAGATAATGTAGAGTCTACAAATGCTTATGAGCACCTGAAGCAAATTGAGGGTAGGATGGAAAACCTTAGGATACAACGGGCTGAAATACTAGCCAACAGTGAGCAGAATAAGTCACTAGCTGATAATTTTAGAAAGAATGGATTCTTGGAAAGTAGAAGTCAACAGGTTGGTGGTAGGGAGGCATCTAATGATTCCCCTTTTAGCAAAAATACTGTTCTTGATACAAATCACCTAAAACCGTATGAAATGCCACATAGTCCCCGAAATGAACCTTTTCACTTTCAAACTATTCGGGCTCAAGAACCATATGAAGCCCCACAGCCTTCTCGTTTAGGGGACTCCAATGTATTTGTGCATTCGAAGCAGGGAGTTTATCATTTGGCCCCTGATGAGATTCCTCTTGGCAGCTGTCCTTTCTCTGGTCTTGAACCCACTCATCCAAAAGAGAGAGTCCCATTCTTCAATGAACATTTGTCAGAGCCCCGAGGTGTTGAGCTTATCTCACCAGATGGAAATACAACATCTGTATCTCCATCTTTTAAGTTTCGAGATGCACAGGAAAGTTCAAATTCACTATTTAGCAATCAGGATCCTTGGAGTACGCAGCATGATGCTCATTTCCCTCCTCAACCCAACAAACTTCAAGTGAGAAAGGAACCAGTGGATGCCAAGGTCCTCAAGGATAATTCTGGTGTGAGTTTTCTAGGAATTTCCCAGCTTCCTGGCAATTTGGACTTTGCAATTGAACACACACTCTCCAACAAAGGCAAGCAGATTTGTGCTTGGCATACACTTTGAGATCTTGCATTCTTATTTTCTTAAACTTTCTACTTGTTTGCTATCTTCTCTTCTATTGAAGGTTCAGCAGAGGAAATTTTCAAGCAGGAAATTCAGGCTGTTGCTGAAGGTTTAGCTACTTCTGTTCTTCATTCATCTATGTCTTCTGACCAAAATTTACCTAGAAGTGGGAGGAGTGAGTCTGCATCCACAGGTGAGAGGAGTGGCGAAGATCAGATTGTTCAAGGAGAAAGGCAATATAGAGAGAAATTTGAGGTCTTTTCTCTGTCCATAGCAGCTGCATACATATGCATGCCTGTTAATTTATTTTGTGTATATTCTTATATTGGTTGTTTAACATATCTGTAATTTATATTATTCAGGAAATAAGAACAAAATTTCCAGTGAGGGAAAATTTCGGCTTTCCAGTTTCAGATGACATTGGGCGCTTACAGGTTTGAGATATTCTGTTTTGCTCTAATAAATGATTGTTGTATTTATGGTCCTTAATAACTTACTAATCCAACTTGTACCATCTGTGCTTCCTTTTCTTCATTGCTAGATTATAAAGAATAGTGACCTTGAAGAGATTCGAGAGTTGGGTTCTGGTACTTTTGGCACTGTGTATCATGGAAAGTGGAGGGGAACTGATGTTGCAATCAAACGAATCAATGCCAGGTGTTTTGCTGGAAAACATTCAGAACAAGAGCGCATGGTTCGTATCTTCAATTTGCAAGTTATGATTTTTTTCCTTCCATTTTGCCTACATAACTAATGACGTTGCTGTTGTGTCTTCAATTAGAGGAGTGACTTCTGGAATGAAGCAATCAAACTTGCAGACTTGCATCATCCAAATGTTGTTGCGTTCTATGGTGTTGTGCTTGATGGACCTGGTGGTTCTGTGGCAACTGTTACAGAGTACATGGTAAATGGTTCTTTGAGGATTGCTCTGCAGAAGAGTGAGAGGTAACAGTGTTTACAATAATGCCTTCTTCATCAGATCCTATTCATGTCATCTGTAGACTCTTTGTGCATCACACCTGCAATTTAAAGAGACAACTTGCATCTGCGATGCTTTTTAGGCACACCTTCACAACTAATTCTGATTCTTTACACAGTTCCTTAAATTTTATACTCATAATTCTCCTTGATTTATATAATATAAACATTTAACTCGTCTGTCCCTAAACCCTTTGGAGTGAAAACAAAATGATAGATGTTTTATTTCTAAAATGATTTGGTTGATGTACTTACTGAGGCAGAAAACAAAAAGTAAAGATACATAGAGCACGTGATTTTAAAGATATTGAGACTCATAAAAAGGAGTTTCCCAAGTCTTGCTCTTTCATTTATACTTTTTTAATTGCATTAAATTTTAATAAAAATTTACTATTTATTCCCTGTCATGGATCACATCTTATACCTTTCTTAAAACCATGATGGAATTTGATGCATTGTTAAATGTGATCAGGAACCTTTTTAAGTGGAAGTGTCTCCTGATATCATTGGATGTAGCCTTTGGAATGGAGTACTTGCATGGGAAGAATATAGTACACTTTGACTTGAAAAGTGATAATTTATTGGTTAATCTCCGTGATCCACACAGACCAATATGCAAGGTCAGTGACTATCTTAATCTTTATGTTCCATATCTGCAGGAAAAAAAATGTATGGGTGTATACTGCACATTATGGTGTAGTTTATCCTTTCTTCTGCCAAAATTTTGAATTAGGTGACTACATTGATAATTCAAAATTTGAAAATTAAAATGACATATAAAAGAAACAAAAAAAGAATTTATTGTAAAATTAGTGAATGTTGACTTGAGCTTTGGGAGGCAAAAAAAAAAGTGAGAATAAATGATACAAAGGGAGTGATGCAGAAAAAGGAAGAATTAAAATTTATAATTAATTATATAAAAGAAGAAGGAAGAAAGAGTTTGTGTATGTTGAAATTTTGGCACTGACTCTTCCCCTCTTTTTTGTTGTTGGATTACATTTTGTTGGTCTGTTTAGGTTGGTGATTTAGGGCTGTCGAAAGTGAAATGCCAGACATTAATCTCAGGGGGTGTGCGAGGAACTCTCCCTTGGATGGCACCAGAGCTTCTTAATGGGAGCAGTAGCCTTGTCTGTGAGAAGGTAATTTGTGATGTTACCCTCTGAAATGATATTTTTAGTTTTGGGGTGAGGCTGAGCACATGAATGGTTTTGGTTTTAGGTTGATGTATTCTCATTTGGAATCGTAATGTGGGAACTTCTAACTGGAGAAGAACCATATGCGGACTTGCACTATGGGGCCATAATTGGTAAGTTAAAGGTTGGGTTTTAGATATGGTAAAAATCGTGATTTTGGGTTTGAGTTGAATTAGTTTTTGGGTGGTGGTGACAGGTGGTATAGTGAGCAACACATTGCGGCCTCCTGTGCCAGAATCATGTGATGCTGATTGGAAATCACTTATGGAGAGATGCTGGGCAGCAGAACCATCAGAAAGGCCAAACTTCACTGAGATTGCAAATGAGCTGCGCTCAATATTATCTAAGCTTCCTGGAAAAGAACAGCTGCCATTCCCCTCAAAACAAACCCAAGTTAGGAGTAAATGTTAATACACAGTTATTGTGTTCTCTTGTTTTCCGCTTGTTCGTTCAGTGTTAGAGAGATACATGGGTGGTTGAGAGATTAACTCCTAGCCTAGCCTAGCCTAGGACTTCTTGAGTTTGAATGTGTGGTTAGCATCCTTCATTTCTCTGTATATATAAATAGCCTAAACTGTACAGCTTTAGTGTATCACAGTATCAGTAAACACACTTAATACTTGGCAATTCACTTAATTGTTTATGCATGGGATAGGCATACAATTTCTTTTTTCACATATATTAAACAAAAATTGGTGGAGTAAGTTTGAATGTTAAAACTTAAAATACATGGTGCCTGGGGTGGATATGGATGAATTATATATATATATATATATATATCAGAGCATTAAAAGAACACATATAAAACAGTTTATGTGCCATCTCATCTCAACTTAATAAAGTAGCAAGGTTTATATTGTTGATGCAGTACATTAGTAGTATTATTATTATATAAACTAGCTGGAGCCCCTAACCATAATCTACACCTCCTACTTGTGCTAACAAAAAAACATGGTACCCCAGTGAAATCCCCCATAAATCTATATATATATTCTGGACACGACACGAGCATAATCTAGTCAACTAGAATTGATGAACCTGTGGTTTAATTTTACTTTTGCCAAACCTTTGGTGAACTGAAAACAAGTGAGCAGTGGCGTAATGCTTGGTTCTTGAATCTTGTATGCTCTGCTTTGCTCTGCTTTAAGTAGTTTTGGATAGAAAAACAGACGGAATATGTTTTGTTTTGTTGGATCTATCTCGTTGTCACATGAAATGCTCGGTGCTGGATTTTTCAGCTGCACTGCTTTTCCAAGAATTGATTGGTTAGTATATATATGATGATAAGAAATATAATGATGCATTGAGTGATTGGGTAGCATACCTCTTGCGTTTGGTCTTGTGAGAAGAAGAAGATGAAGAAGAAGGATTGGTATGCCAATTTCTTTTCCTTTGGTTGATGAACCAATTGTTAATCTGTTTGAGTTGCAAGCCAGTTTCTTGTACTAATCTTGCTTTGTCTTCCTCGGTTGGATAAGGCCATTTAGAATGCGATTGCCACCATGCTTTTAAGAGAGATGTAGTATCACCAGGCAGCTTCCCTGCTCTTCTTTTCCGCATAATTTCCTCTCTGATGTCTGCTATCTTTTCCTTGTACCCCTGTTTGAGGTCATGCTTAAGTTCTTGTCTCACCCTCTCCATAAGTGACCTCTCAGTTTCAGTAGGCACCAGAGGTCCAAAGCCCATGGTGTCTGCTCCTCCATCAAAAAACAAGTTGTTGGTGTCACTATCCGCCTGCAGATCATCCTCATCATCAGACATTGTTGCACCCGTTCCTTCACCTGGCGCTACCCCTGTTAATATAATAATAATGCCTCCCTCATTGTTAATATAAATTAAAGACAGATAGAGAAATTAAGGCAGTCGATCAGATCACCTGTTAAGCTCTGCAGGGACTGCTCAAGTTCCCAGCAGGCCATCACAGCTTCCATAGCGTGGACTCGGACATGTTGTTGTAGTTGTTCTTTAAAGGAAGACAGCAACATAACATAATGTGTCTATATCACAATTCACAACCAACAAATTAAATCAATTTTAAAATTATTAGCTGCGCTGCAAATTAATAAACCAGAAGAATTGATGAACATCCATAAATAATCATGTAGCAATCTGCAGGGATTACAAAATGTATGTACGTACTATTAATGGTTTATGATTAGAAGCAAAATGAATTGAAGAATATCAAGAAAGAAAGAAAGAGATTCTGTATCTATAGCACTCCAATAATTAATGGATCGGATCAACGCCGGCCTACAATGTTCCTCTTTGATGCGACATTCCAGATATTACTCACACATTTTATATCTTGTAAACAAAAAGCAAAGCATGCATGTATGTATGTTCTTAATTAATTTCCCAAAACTCTTCTCAACTCTCACCCCGCCCGCCCACTCTCATTTCTTCATTATATTATATTCAAACAGCATCTATATATCATAACTGTAATAATAAGACTAGTACAGTGAAAGTACGTAGAAATTAAACAGCCCCAAGTCCAAGGATTGGATATGATTGTCTGTAAAAATGACAAGCTCGCTCGATCGATAATGAATTTGAAGAAAAAAAAAAAAAAAAAAAAAAAAACAGATAAGGTAGCGGAATATATATAATTACCATAAATTGATCAAGGTCTTTATCGTCTAGGGGAGGTTGGGGGTGGGCGAGAAGGGAGGAGTAGTTAGCGACGACGTTTTGGGACTGAGCAAGCTGGGCGTCGATTCTGGGGAGCTGGTCAACGGGCGTGGCGATTCTGAGGCAGGACACGTGAGCCGACAGCAATTGATCGTAGAGAGGGTGGTTCAGAAGGTCGGCCTTGCACTTCTCCCTCACCCAACTACTACTACTACTGCTCCCTCCTGCGCCTTCGAATTCGCCTTCACCGTGCTTCTTAACGTCGGCGGTGGGAGACAGCCAGTTGGTGGAGGAGTCGGAGTTGTTGTTGTTGGAGGTTTGGAGGTGGAGGAAGTTGGAATTATTATTGGGGGAGTCGGAGAAGTGGTGGTGGCGCTGCAGGCGGAGGAAGACGGAGGTGGAAGGCGGAGGAGATTTTGGAGAAGGAGAAGGCTGGTCCGGTAGCATAGACCGCAAAACGCCCGCGTTTTGCTGCTGCTCGACGCCCATTTCTTCAGAAAACTGATCCTCAAACATAATACACCACCACCACCTTCTACTCTCTACTCCACCATACACTACGTTAGTTAGTTGTTTTTGTTTTTTAAAACACATGCCATCTCATCCCACTATTTATACATACATACATACCTATATGCTAGCTTTATAGGATAGGACGATACATATATATATATATATATATATATATATATATATATATATATATATATTATAGCAGATTCATTTCATATCATGGGATCCGACTATTTAATTTATATATTACTGTTTGATAATATAGTTAGCTTATTAACTAATTTTAATTTATTTGATCACTATTAATTGTTTGACTTGATTAAAAATCAATTAAGTGTTTGATTAATTAGTTTTTTATAATTTTAAAATGTAAAAATTCAAAAAGTTGTTCAAAGTAATTTTTCAATTAACTTTTTGAAAAAAGAAATTATACCAAACAGCTATTAGCTAACAACTAATTTACCAAACACTTTTCTACAATCAACTAATGTCAACTAACAACTATCAGATAAAAATCATTTATCAAATAAATAGGACCACATTTATTTAATTTATTATCTGGCTTATTCTAAGCTACTACCATTAGGTCCATTACACAACAATAATTATAAAAATGGATCAAATGAAAATACAAATTAAAATTCATCAAAGCTAAGTGCAGTGTGTAAAGTAAGGTAATTAGAGGAGGACTGTATACTAATATAAAATACAAAGTAAGTCATATTTATTTGTGGTGGTCACGTGTCTTCTATACCAACTATGTAATGGTCCCTCCTTACAGTCTCCCTGCCGTTAAATGGACGGCAATCTCCCTGTCAATCAACTGCTCATTGTATGTTAGGTCAATATATATATACTTTTCTTCTTCTTTTTTATTTTATAATATATTTTTTTGTATCATTATTTAATTGCAGTGTTACACACATGTGTACAAGGAGGCAGCCTAGCGTGCTAAGCTATATACTTTCTTCTTTCCAATAATTATTTGGACCGCTAGCTAGCTAGCTCTACCTAGCTTCATAATGCTCCAATTCATTTCTTCTCTTCTTTTTTTCTTTTTCTTCATTTTATTACATTAAATATTTATATTATATATTTCCTATTAATAATTCATTAGGGTTTACATATTATTCATTTAGAATAATATAATGCATGCATTCATATTTACATTTAATGTGACTAAGCATTAGATTTGAGGATCCAATGAGTAATTAGTTAGACATATCTCAAAGTTAAGGGTCAAAATTTAGAGGTGCAGGTGGAGGAATGATCATGTCAGATGTAAGTATTTGCATGATGAGGTCAAGGCCGGTGCTTAGGTATAAGTGCAAGGATGCAACATAACATGATTGCACGTGGTGTAGCATAGTCGTGGGATCATACGTTCACTATAGTATTGTGTCAAATTTTAATTTCGTACGAATAGTTGGGAATTACACATACAATTTCCACAAAATTGTAGATAGGATGACATTTTTCTTGGCATTGCATGCATATGGTAGCTAGTGTAGAGCATCTCATGTTTGTTTACATAAGTTGCATGTTTGTAAAAAGATGGATCGGAGGGGTTTAAAAAAAAAAAAAAAAAGAGTTAGCCCATGATATCTTAAATATATTATTGTAATAATCATAAAAATATACACTTATCATTTAAAAGAAGAATTTTGAGGTCAAAGTGGTATGTTATTGTAATCTCATTTTCACTCCTTATTCCTACTTATCTTCTCTATTTATTTTGTATTATTAACCAAAAATTTGTGATAATCTAGGACAAAAACCATCATCATAATGATACACACACACACACAAGCAGCTAAGTATAGTATAGTAACAAAGTGCATGCATATATACTTGTTGTGCCAAACTCTCTCATTTCTTTTAATGGAAAAAGTAAAAGCCAAAATAAATAAAGCTAGCCAGCAGGGATAAAGGGATGCATGTAGATGATGACTCCAATGTATTATTGCATGTACTATACGTGTTTACTTTGGTATCACTTATTGCTAATAGTAAAATACATAAACCAGGCCAATTCAATGAAAGAAAATAAAAAGTCAATTATTTCAATTCCCTTCCATCCTACTCATTTAAAAACAATTAAACTTATTCAGACGTTGTAATTAAGATATTTAATATAGCATATATGTCCCTTATTGTACATACTACCCCTTCAACAAAATAACACATCAAGGCAGAATCATATATAGGTGAAGGTGAAAGTGAAAAGTTATCCGTTCCCGAGTTAATCTATAAAAGATGTACAATAATAAAAATGTTAGGAATCTCAATTTTCATATTTAAAAATTATATGTGAGCTCGTAAATAAGGATTAGATATACTCTATGAGACATATCCATAGGAAAACAAATGTATTCAATGATTAGTTAATTGCCCCTTATCGTCTTGAATGACAAGTTTATGTACGCATTTTATAGACATTGTGGATATAACTTGATTTGATTAATTTATTTAATTTTTGTTTTGTTTTGGTATTATCTAGCTTATTCCCTTGGGCTTGTATTCAAAAAAAAAAAAAAAAAAAAAAAAGTGTTTGATTGAAATTAGTGGAAGAAAAGGAGAGTGTCGAACAATGTTTAATATATAATAAGTTGATGATGAGCGCATTATCGATCGATCTTCTAGACCTACTCTTACTTTGAATTAAAAAATATTTGAACATATATAGGCATAAAGTTGATGAGTTGAGGCGTGGATGGCATCATTTAGCAACAATATAATATAATGTCGTCTGTCCTATGTTTCTCACGACAAAAATCTAGTTTGGATTTCCAAACCCGTTACGTTATGTCATATGTGTGCGTATGTAATCCCTTTCTGGCGATTTTATTTATTTATTTTTTAAAAAATATATTTTCTGCTATTATATTAGAAAATGTATAGTAGTTTAGATTGACACGCAGCCTCCCTCACCGAAAGTTATTTCTTTGAAATCACATCAACATCGAATCCTGTTATCACTCTCACTAATTATTATTAATTAATACAAATTATTTACCAATTTTTTAATTATTATATATAATAATACTGTGAATATATAGTATAATAATACAATGCAACCCCATACAAATAAACCTAGTTCAATTCAATTTTAATGTACCTCATATAATGAGTAGTTGATGATGGTAACTATTAGCAAAACAATAATAAATTAAAGTTTGTGGCTGTGATATTATGAACTAATTGATTGTTTTCTTTTTTTTTTTTTTTTTTTTTTTTTTTTTAAGTAAAGAGATTATGTGATCTTATCGGAATATATATAGTGAGTTAGATGGACAAAAATTGATGTGGTTAAGTTATTCATTGCTTGGATGATGGGATGAAATGGTAGCAATTCCATTATTCCACCTTATCACAAACCATAGGTGTATTAATAGTCATAAGTATTACGTATAGCTTCAATTCAATTGCTCTGATCTAACTTATTAGCTTTAAAAGCTGCACCCGACCTCATCTAATCTCATCTCTTGACAAGAATCTTCGTGACCCATTTCTTGTCACAGCACACATTTTATGACAATTCAAATAAAGCTCTGCTAATTTAATTAAGCACACATATATTCATTATTGATTGATATTGATATTGATTTCTACCCATATATATGTCTTATTCACATCTCATCTATATATATACAATATACAAGATAGATAGATATATGTAAGTGGTCCATCCCCATTATATGTATATTAATTACTCAGCTCTTTACTTCTCCTCTTTAATCTAGCTACATATATAGGCTATGCCCTAACTCTCATGCATCAATCAAATTTTGATTTTATATCTGTGGATACACGTACTGCACGCGTTTGTGGATAAGTTCTGAGGCGATTGAGACATGCATACACCAACTATTATTATTACCATTGACGTTTCGACGACTAGAAAAGTAGACACTACATACATAATAACATTCAATATAATGAATATATAGTATACATGTCAAAGTGGACAAGTTAAGATGAATCGAATAGGTACAAAATTTGAAAATGTGTGCGGCATGCGTGTTTGGCACGCTAGCTAGCTAGCTAAATGAAGTGTAAGTAACATACATACATACAGTGAATTGATCGAATTAAATAAAATAGAAAATAAAAGAGGAAAGAATGAAAAAGAAGAAAGTGGTGGCCTGGGCGGGTATGATGTAGAAGGAAGCTGGGATGAAGCACGCTTGGTTGGAGTATTATTGGTGGTCCTTCCTTCAAATGAATAGATCAATATGGAATGAACGAATTACAAAAGATGCTAAGTGGTAATGCCAGACAGATTCAAAATGGTTGTCTTTTTAAGGAGCGCAGCTAGCTAGCTAGCGCGCGGATCGGTGGACCCACAATCAGCTCAATTAAGAGAAAATTGTAATTTATGTCATTTTTCATTATTAATGTTATTCTTGAATTATTAATGATGTAAATATTGTTTCTTAATTTTTAAAATGGTATATTTATTGCCTTTCTCGTAATGTAAATATTGTCTCTCAATTTTTCTCATGGTACGAGAAGGATAATATATGTATCGTTTTAAAAATTAAGAAATAATATTTATATCACAAATAATTCAAAAGTAACATTAATAATTGTTGAAGGTGCATAAATTACAATTTTCGCGCCCAATTAATTAAGGAGTGAGTGAGTGAGTTACGATGTGTTGGCATGAATCGGATATGATGGGCAAGTGTTAGCTAGACAGCGGTCCCCATTTTTTGTACTTATGAAATCCTATCCTTTTATCACTACACCATCATATCATTAGTCTATTTTTTGCCCCACTGCATTTTCCATTCCATCAACCTACCTAAACCATTATATTAAAACAAACACACAAACACACACACACATCTATCTATATCTATATATATATATATATATATATATATATATATATATCACTACAAGAAAAATGCACATAGACAACACTAGAAAGACAACAGTTTTTAAGAAAAGTGTTGTCTTTTATATAAAAGACAACAGTTTGGTCCAAAACCGTTGTCTTTGATGCAACACTTTTGTCAAAGACAACGGTTTTTACTTAACCGTTGTTATAAGTGTGTTGTCTTTGTGCATTTTGTGGAAAGACAACACCACA